ACTTCGCTTGTGCGTTAATCATTCTTTGCCACGCCTAGGCATGAAGCTTCGCGAGTTTATTAAAGGGAAGGTGCATCTGAGATTCGTCAGTGGCACTCGTCGAGTTTGTTAGCACCGGGTTCACTCAGCCCTCGCTGTCGCCGCCCTGAATCGCGGCCTAAGAATTGCACCGACAGAGGAAGGACCTCCCCAAGAGACACCGGGAGTCGACCCCCGGTGCGGCACGGTCACTTTCCGTGGTGGCCGTGCTCCAAAGACTCCCGGTCGGTATGGTCCAACGCCGGTGGTTTGAGACGCTCTGATGGACGCGAGTTCCCGGACGCCAATCGACCCTATACGGGCAACCGGCACTTTTCCTTCGACTTGGGGACCTCGACTCGTGCCGCCTGCCTCTCTCCTACCTGACGGGGGGGACTGGCCGTGTTGCGGTCGTGGTGTCTTCTTGTCATATTCTCTCACTGTCCCTTTCGGCCTGGGACGACCAAAGACCAGCATCCATCCACACCGCTGTCACCCTTCTAAGGGTGCAAGTCCAGGGGCTGGTCGGAGGTTTCCCCGGGCCCCCACTAGGACGGGATTTGGAGGGAGATCAGCTTCCATCCTGCTCTCTTCGATTCCGTGTTTGTGGGGGCCGGCTGATTATCCACCGTCAGCATGCAGTTACATGCCGATCCATCCTGCGTTGACATTCAGGCCCCACCGTCCTTCTCTTTCAGACAAACTTTTTTTTCTTAGAGCTGTATTAAAGAAAACTGGAATAATGCCCGTTCTCCTTAATTATCTACTCTGAGCCTTTGATACTTGAATACGTCACAGGATACAAAGTATTGTCTCTAATCGGAAGGGGTGTTGAAGATAGCGTCTAAAAGGCTGGGAATTGATCAATAAATATCAACAATACAAGAAAATCGCAGATGCAACCCGATACATAATGCACCCATCCTTTTACACAGAATATTTTCCAGTACGACTGAGTTCCCCTCAAAATAGCAGCTAATAGCCTTGATTTCATTTTTTACTGGCCAAAAGTGGCGCAGTGTAATAAGGCATGATACAAACAGTGTATTTAACGTACCGGATAAAACATACCATCACACTGAACCACGATTATTACGAGTACAATCAAAATAGTGCACAATGTACATTTATGTTCATGGTCAACACCGTAAAGATGACTCATTCATCAACATGTCAAGGTTCAAGCTGGGCAAACTTAAAAAGTGCAACCCAGGTGACAAATTTTAGATATCTCTATCGCTCAAGCAGAAATATTTACGCTCACATTAGCAGTTTCGAAACTCCACAATTGAGTGATAACTCGTATAAAGTTTGTAGCATTCTTCACGGCAATTCCATACGCAGATTACATCATTCAACTCGATTAAAGCATGAGTTGTCCTTCATCCACCACGTGAAAGCAGAGGCGTATCCAGCTTTTTTGTGGGGGGGGGGATAATTCAAAAGCCACTGCGGCTTCAGGCTCATTCTATATGATGTTAGGGGAGATAAAATCCAAAGCCTTACTGTCCCGACATCCTTTTTTTTTATTTGCTGGTGTTCTTTTGTTTGGGGTCTTGTGCTAATATTTGATAAATTAATATACCAATTTCTTTCTTTCTCTCCCATAGAGTATTCTTTGTTTTAAAAAAATCCGTGGGGGAGTTGCACCCGCCCTCTTGCTGGATACCCCGCTGCGTGCAAAAATTGGGTAGAATATTATTTCGCTTGGTTTGTCTGTGTAGGCATATAGTGCAGTAAGAAATGAGGAAAGGATAGCATCCACATTCATTTCAGCCATTAACCAAAACCGATTTTTCTTTTAAATTCTATTCCTTTTTATCAGTTTGACTAGTTTTCATGGTCACCTTATTTGAAAAAAAAAGCTCCTAATGCTCTGAGGAAGATTACAATTATTGGTTCGTTTGTTTTATTCACCAGTAGGACAACTGGTTTTAAGTCTGTCGAAGTTAGAAATTGACCTCTGAATGGTTTGTGCCACGTTCACCTGCCTTCTAGAAAATTCGTTCGCGCCCGGTTAATGTTATTCGTCAGGCCACAGAAGAGGTATAAAAGGAGCAGTCGCTTGCATACTCGTCAGTGGGTCCCATCGAGTTTGTTAGCATCGGGAACACTCAGCCCTCGCTGTCGCCGCCCTGAATCGCGGCCTAAGAAATGCACCGACAGAGGAAGGACCTCCCCAAGAGACACCGGGAGTCGACCCCCGGTGCGGCACGGTCACTTTCCGTGGTGGTCGTGCTCCAAAGACTCCCGGTCGGTATGGTCCAACGCCGGTGGTTTGAGACGCTCTGATGGACGCGAGTCCCCGGACGCCAATCGACCCCATACGGGCAACCGGCACTTTTCCTTCGGCTTGGGGACCTCGACTCGTGCCGCCTGCCTCTCTCCTACCTGACGGGGGGAGCTGGCCATGTTGCGGTCGTGGTGTCTTCTTGTCATCTTCTCTCACTGTCCCTTTCGGCCTGGGGCGACCAAAGACCAGCATCCATCCACACCGCTGTCACCCTTCTAAGGGTGCAAGTCTGAGGCTGGTCGGAGGTTTCCCCGGGCCCCCACTAGGACGGAATTTGGAGGGAGGTCAGTTTCCATCCTGCTCTCTTCGATTCCGTGTTTGTGGGGGCCGGCTGATAATCCATCGAAGTAACGAACGCTGTGCGACAAATTTCAGGGGAAAAAGACATATTCTTCAAAGCCTTCTTGACAACACGGCTATTTTATAAAATCCCGGTGTACGAATTCAGTTCCTCATCAACGACCCCTAACCCAAAGTGTAGCAATTCTGTCCAAGAATCTCGGTATTTGCCACCACATGAAATATGTATTTGGTATACATGTCTTGAGTTCGCTAAATACCTATAGACCCAGTTTCCATCCTGTCGAATCTTTTTTACAACATATCTTCATACAACCTTCAGACAATATTCAAGGAACTGTCTATACTATGGGACCTGCGCACATACCGCCCACATGCCATAAACTGTACATGTACTGTGAGCGCATGTAAACAATGGATTGAACATTATTATAACGTATGGTGATTCGTCCATGTCCTTTGTCGTACGCGGAACGTTCGTGTCAAGGTTCAGAGGTATGCACGATATAAAAAACTTAAAGAGGCAGCCCAAGCAACCAATTCAAGATAAAAATAAAACCTTTCTCTCGTTGATGAAAAAGCTTAAGATCTGTACAGTCTATATTCTTTTCCCATATTTGTAAGATTGACTTTACATGTATATTCATTGCACCTGCAGGTACAAATAACTTTCAGTTGAGCGGACGTAGGTTTTACATGTATCATACACATGTGCATGAACGTTTGTCCTCTACACAGAGAAGATAAACTGACTTATTTATTCCCACCTATTTCGGTGAAATCAGACGTTCATACACACCTCAATAATATTAAAGGAACATGATTATCTTAAAGTCTTTATAAACTATCCATCCAAAGCAGAACTCTATGTGGCCATTTGGATACTCTTGGGTGCAGCTGATAAAAGCATGGACGAAGGAATAGACTACGCATGATTTCACGTTCAAATGTTGCTTGAAAAACAATGAACTTCACCTGCAATGAGTCTGACACAACCTCGATACCTCTTGAAGAGGTAACATTCCATAAAAGTCATGACATCAACATATTCCTGTAATATTTTTGGTAGTGTACTATGCAAAGGGTCGTGTTTAAAATTGCCCCCGTTGATGTTTACACAAGGTTGCATCATCGTTGATGCATCAGCACTGGCGTGGTGTCTGAAAAGCCGCTTGCTCCCGCAAAAATTTTGTCACATATTACGACAGGGCAATTATCTTTTTCGTGTTTCGACCCCGCATCATAACCCAGGAAAATGAAGATTTATTTGCGCCCATGCGATTCTGCCTAGCCCCACCGTGACTTGCACAGCCAAGCTACTGAGCTCTGGCGCCACCACTGTGCATCAGCCTCCTCCGCACACAACAGGCAATGGTTTCTTTTGAACACGTGACCTGTGTGATTCCGGCCCACCCAGCCGGTGAACGGTTCTGGAAATTTCTATGTGATTCATTCGACCCGTTTGCGCAAGCTTCCTGCGTTGCACCGTGTGACTCGACCATGGAGGTGGACCTATAAAAAGCCTTGCAAGGGGCATCTCCACGGGAGACAATTCGAACTTAATTTCACAGCACACGGACCTGCAACGCCCGCGCCGTTAAAACGCCACCAAAGACGGCCGAAGAACCGCGGTACACACACACACACGAGTCGCTCTCCTAGGGTCCAGTGCGGCACGGCCATTTCCATGTCACCGTGTTTCCCCCCAGCAGGCTCGTAACTTTCCTGTACCATGCGGGTTCACCGTCGGCGTGGTCTGATCCGACCAGGGCACCGGCGGAAACAGCCTCGGGGGCTGCTACCCCCGATTTCGTCACCGAGGCGCGCCTCACCCCGTCGGGTTCTTCCTCCACCTCGACGGGTGGGGCAAACTTGGCCGAGATGACAGCCTCGACAACCTCTTCAGTCTTTTTCTTCTCTCCGGCCATCGGGCGTGGAAAGCCGACCTTTCTCCTCACCGCTGTCGCCTCGTGCAATGGCGCAAGTATGGGTCGGTCGGAAGCGCCCGAGGGCCCCCACTCGGACGGAATCTGGAGCGAGGTCAGTTTCAATCCTGCTCTCTTCGATTCCGTGTATGCGGGGGCCGGTTGATAAACCATCGAAGTGAAAAACGCTGTGCGACAAATTTTGGGGAAAAAGGACATAACCTTCAGAGCTTGTGAGACCGCACCGAATTTTAGTGGCCCCGAACAAGAAGTATTGCAATTTGTCTAAGAATTTAGTAGTCGCAACCATGTTTCGTTTTGCATGTCATAAGTCACTACCTATAGACCCAATTTCCATTCTGTCGAAAATTTTACAATGTACATTCCTATTTTTTTCAAACAAAAAATCAAAATGACACAAGGTCAAGAACATCATAAAACAAGTCGAAATGACACAACCTTCAGACAGTACAATTACATTTAACATTTTACACTGCAGCGCCCGCGCGGAAACCGTCCACATGCCGTGCACATGAACTGCACGTGTACATGTACAGTGAGCATTTGTAACCATACAATGGATTGAATATTATTATAATGTACGGTGATTTGCCCATATTCGTTGTCGTACGCGTATTGATCGGTGTTCATAATGTGTGTTTACAACTGTGTGTCAAGGTTTAAAAGCACAATAACTTAAAGGGGCAGCCCAAGCAACAAATTCAAGATATGACCTTTCTTTAGTTAAAAAAAATAAGGATTAACGTAACAATCTGTATTCTTTCTTCTTATTTTCAAGATCGGCTTTATATCGCATTAATTGCACTCGAAGGTGTGATGGCGTGCGTTTATGCATTGTGGCAGCCTCTTTAAGTAGTCTCCATAAATTCCAGTCTCCTTGAATTCAGCAACAACCAAGACTACGTAAAACGAGACAGTGCACATGACTAGACAAATTTCCAGAAAGAATCCGAAACAAGCACACCTTTAGTATGCATCAGTTATGCGTGTGTAATAAATTAGAGGACGCGTGCCATGGATATTCTAGCCTTTGATCAAGGCGCCCGCGGCGAAGTGGATAGTCAAGACCACACGACGAACTGCATGCAAGCCCGAAATTAACTATGCATGCGCATGCAGTAGTCTTTCTTCGTGCGTTGGATTGGTGTGTAAACTAGTCTCCGCCAGCTCCTCGCTCTTGAGCGACTATCCACTTTGCCTCGGGCGCCTTGATCAAAGGTTATGGATATTCCGGCAACGAAATCCTTTTTATGACAAGAAGATGGTAGTTTTTCAATTCGTAGCAAACACTTTAGGTCATCGGGCGTGGAAAGCCGACCTTCTCCCCACCGCTGTCGCCCGTGCAAGGGCGCAAGTAAGGGTCGGTCGGAAGCGCCCGAGGGCCCCACTCGGACGGGGTTAGGGGGAGGTTAGTTTGAAACCTCTTTTCAATTTCGTGTTTGTGGGGGCAGCCATTTAATACATCGGGCCAGTTTCTGCATGTTTTCAGGCCGTGTTCCCAAACTGTACCGTGGTGAATGACTTTGCATATACATGTACATGTACATATGAAGTACAAAACATCCCACAAATAGGTTCGAATGGTTTGATCGACTTTTTCGGCCGATGAATGGCTAATTCTGCTTCCGTCTTTCTCCCCACGCATTGTATCAATCATTGAAAAATACCTCCTCTTTCACTAAACCTAAACAGTAGAGTATTGAGACTCTCCTTTGGCCTGTAATAAAAGCCTAGTAGATATGAGCAAGAATGATGACATTATACAGCCCCCCAAAAAATCGAAGCTGCATCTCATCGAGGTCTGAGACCCCATCTTAAAGAAATCTCCCATATCATTTGGGCGCCCTCTGCTGCTTTGATGTTGCTTGGTGTTTAGCACAGAAAATTGAGATACTCAAATAACAGTAAGCCGGAGACATTTTGACCAACTTCACACGAAGAGAGAATCCAGGCGAGACAAAAATGGACAAGATAGCACCTCATGTGTTTATCGCAAACATTTAATTACAGTTTGTAAGGAAGTTGCAGTCACTGAATTGAATATCTTTATCAGTCATGTTCGGGCTCTATGGAATGTCGTGGGATAGGTACGAATGGTGCGGCAGGCCCCACGTCGTGTCTGGGGCCGGTGGGGGGACAGGCGGCCCCGCCGTGGACAGCGACGCCCCACCCAGGCGCCAGAAGCCCAGGTTGCGTAGGCACCGCCGCAGCCGCCGCACGTCCGCTAGCACCTTCTCGTAGCGCAGCTGGGCCCGCTGGCCGTCCACCACCGAGTGGGCGCTCTCCAGCCGCAGGTCCTTCAGCACCCCGGCCATGCCCAGATTCCGGACACGCGGGTCGCCGAGGTCCACCCGTTCGTAGGCCGCATGGAGCAGGGATCTTTAGGGTAGAGAAAAATTGGGCAGACGGATGAATGATTTAGTTTGTTGCAAAGGATTTATGTTATGGCGCTCGTTCAGTGCATAACATAAATTTTGATGCTTTGATAACTTGCGACAAAAATAGTTTCTTGTGTCATCCCATCCTTACCGAACAAAAACATTGCTTTTTCTGCTTGAAGAGCTGGCTTGTATTTTTCGAATATCAAGACGAAATAAGATAGTAGAGTAACCTATAGATGAGTTCGGGAGGCGGTATTTCTCACTTGGTATGGCGGGCTAACTCATGCATGCTCTTAGCAATGTCCATCATGACCTCCAGGTCGCCGACCATGTCCAGGTACATCCTGTCGGGCGAGGGCATCCTCATCTCGGTCTGGGTGATGCCAGTGGGCGTAGCTGCCGCCGGGTTCGGGGGGCTGGAAGGGGGAGGATCAGGGGAGATGCTCGGGGGAGGGGTGAGCGTGCTGGTGCTGGTCTCGTCGAAGCTGTCTTCGCTGCTGCCCCGCTGCTGGCGCCGTCCAGAGAAGTTGTGATTGGCCAGGGTACGATCGGGGAAGGACGCCGAGCGCTCCAGGGGCGGCGACTTGTCGGAATCCTCTCGCTGTGTCACGAAAATTAGCATCGTGTTCTTTAATTTGGTTATCTTAGCAAAACTCGTCACAGTTACTCCGGTACTTTTGTCTGTTAGCTCACAAAGAAAAAAAAATAAAATAAAAATAATTAGAAAAAAACTGAAAGGGAATTGACTGGTCGAAGATAAGCTGGACATTAGAAATGAGGCTAGAGTTAGCCCACGTTAGAGACCCGTCTTTGTCACCATTAGCGATAGTTCAAAAGGAACCCAACAGGGCTAAGATGCGAGTCCACAAAATTTAAATACCTCTCCTCCATTCTTTTTAAGAAACAGAAGTTGTTAAAAGGGGAAGCAACTTTAAAAGGGCGTACCTTACCGATTTCCTAGCGATTTTACATACAGAACATTGTTATAACTCTTGGTGCAATTTGGGTCATGATGTTAAGAAGTGAAGGCTGCTGAAAACCATCCCAAATAATACGAAATTTGATGATGGAATGAAGTTCGACATTTCCCTACCTCCGCCAGCGCACAGTGGATACTCTCCACTGTCAGTCCTTGGTAGACTTCTTCGAGCTCATCGGAGGGTTCTGGGGAGGAGGGACAGCTGATCACTGGGACCGATATGGAAGCGTCAAAGCTCTCCATAAAGAGAGCGTTTTAAAATCTCTTCGCTTGTTTTCCGTCCTGAAAAATCACAGAGTTGATTCGAGATTGTGAAGTTTGATCTGTAATTCCTAAACTGTGGAATAGGCAGACGCTGCGTCCATTCTACGCACGCGTCATCAACTTTGTGTGCGTTGGCAGGAGACTACACGCGCAGCCGCGGTACACGTGACTGTGTTATGTGCACCTTTTGTCAGTGATAGATCAAAATTGTGTACATAAGTTCGCTTGAACTCTCGAATATTAATACGACCCAATTTGTCGCCCTTTTGTCCTTGAACGGACAGGAACAATGACCAATTCACATAAGGGCAAAAAAGGAGCTATCTTCTATGCTCAAGTTTGCAAGCCCGAGTTCAAAGGCATGTCAACATTATCGGTGAATTGAGCCAACAATGACTGGCGCCCCCATGTGGCAAGATTTTGCCAACAAATTAACCTCGACACAACAAGCGTAAAAACTATTAAGTAAAAACAGCAAAGACTGCATTCTGTAAGTGTTTTGAACGCCCTTTTTTAAATTGAACGTTATGAATCTTACGATTAACCGTCTGTGACTTTATTGTTCATCAGGTATGATTGATGAAAGTGTAGTTATCGCAAAAAGTCGTGCCAAACAGAGGTAGTTTACCCTGGATACAACTTGACAACGATTCACATTTAAACTGATACAATGGTTTGGCAGGTTGGCATATGCCATGGCATGGGGTGGGAAAGTAGTTCGTTTATAATTTTGTTCCTTCTAAAATTCCGTTCGTAGGTTTGAAAAATGTTGACGAAGAGAGGAGCACATAAATTGCTGAAGAATGTGCACTTTCCAGGTAAGAAACATTCGTTTTCTTGCGTGTTAAATTCCTGCACTCAAATTATACCTCATGGTTGGTACAACATATTAATTTTTAAATCATGTTCGTTTTCGTGAGCTATGTAACCATGGTGCAACTTTCAGAATGTATGGGGCGTTGCGGATATCCGGTAGTTTTGCAAAATGCCGGGTAGCAACCACACTGCGCCGATGAAAACAACTGCAACGAGCATACGTGTGTGCTCTGATCAAAGAAATGATTGCTTTCCTGATCAGGCTCTGACTGGCTGGTGCACCCGTACGTGGCCACGGTCGCAGTTTTCATCGGCACAGTGTGGTTGCTACCGCCATTTTGCAAGAGTCCCAGATGTCCACTCTGTCCAATTGTTCAATTTTTTAGCAGGGGCCAGGCTAGCAGAAGCAATGAAAGTGAGACACCTTTTGCATGCCCAACAGAAAGAGATTTCTTCAAGGTATCATTGAGATGTCGTCCGTGTCTTTTCACGTAGCATTTTCAAATTTGAATGTGACTTGGAATCTTTGGGACAAATCCAAATAAACAGGTGAGGAGGATGCCCTCCGAGAGCTGAAGTTGGCTGCAGCGGGCAAACAGTCTCGGCAAGCTCTGATCCGTCTGAAGAAACCGTCGCCAGAACGGAGCTCTGCAGCCGCCATCGAACTACAACGAGTATGGAGGGGCTACTGGACAAGGTAGATTATTATGATGAATAGGCCAAGTGAAAAAATAGAAGGGTTTTCTTCTGTTTTTGAGTCTTTTGTGTACACTTGTGTAAACTTGCATACATGCATGTAACCCCCCCCCAAAAAAGGGGGGCGGGCTTGGGAAAAGGAAGTTAGCTGAGATGAGATATCATCAAACCTTTAGTCAGGGGTGTGAGAATTCAGCTTTTTAGCCGATTTCAGCTTTTTTTGTTTCGATGTTGGCCCTGAATTCCAGCTTTTTTGTGCACCTGCTGTGTACAAACTGTGGGGACTTCTTACATTTCAGTATTTTGCCAGCTGTTTCCAGCTTTGGTTTTAAGTGGCTACTCGCATCCCTGTTTAATTGTGATGCCTTGAATCGATGCTGCTTTACAGATGTCGGCTCTACGAAATCTTGAACCCAACGGTCAGTACCCAGGTCCATCAGACTGGCAGCCGCTTTGTCCACAGCGAGCAAGGGCTGCGAGACGTCGGGACCGCACCTTCCAAATCCCCTGAGAAGTCGAGGTCAAAGGTCACGACGGTCCCATCCAAGGTGCAGTTGGCATGGCAACTGCTGTTTTGCGAAATGGCCCAATTTTACCTAAATAATGCTTGAAATACCGAAAACCAAAATTGATTAAATCTCTTTGACATGAAACTGAAAATCTGAAACCTTTTTTTAAAACAGTCATATTTTGCTCTACTGGGTTCATTGTTATGAATAACCAACATTAATAAAGGAGATTGAGAAAAATAACAGATTTGCAAGGGATAAATTTTGAAAGAATCCTATAATGTCTTTAAATGGTTTGTCTTTGTAAATTAGCAACGACTCGTACCACTTTTTCCTTTCCCATTGTTTTACCGTCCTCATCTTTCTATTTTTCCCCCTTTAGGAGTCCATCCAAAGTAAGGTGTCGACTGTTAAAACTCTCAGTGCTCGGCAGCGACTCGAGGGATACTATGAAAAGTATTACCTGCGTAAGAAGGCAAAAGGAGAGCAAGATATCATCTCGTAAGCATTTTCTACACTTCCTCGTGCTGTCGAGTCATTTGTTTTGTAAAATGTTCCTGATCACATGGAAACTGAGCTTGACCTCGAACATTAAAGAGCATAAAAATAGCGGGGCCCGGTTGATACTCGTTGGAGTCTCAGGTGCTGAAGTCACTTTAATACCTCGCCCTGCTTTTGCTCCACCCAGTTTTGAGGAGTTCTGCGCCCACTACATCCAGAACTGGTGGCACCGGATCCGACGCCAGCGGTCGGTGGTCAGCACAGGGGGGCCCGGGCCACAGCTATCAGCGGCGCCCCAAGGGGTGCGGTCGGTCACCATCTCGCTCTCCCCCGAGTCCGGCCGTGCCTCGGTGCCCCACGTGGCCGTCCGCATGCAGCCCAAGAAGAAGAAGAGGAAAGCGCGACCGTACCCCTTGGACCCCAAGGAAGCAGCCAAGATGATACAGCGAGCTTGGAGGAGGCACATTGTAAGAGTTTATCCAACCCCAGGTCCCCTTAGAGTCTCTAAATCTTGAGAATCCTAATACCGACATTCGTGTTTTTTCTCAAGCACTTTGTTGCTACGTCTGTGCCTAAAAAGGTCAAAGTTGTAGACGTGGCTGTTGTTAAACTTTTGAAACATATTCACAAAAGTTGTCGATAGGCATAATTCAAGTTTGATAAATAGCAAATATTTGTTGAAACTTCTACAATCATTGAAACGCGCTGCCCACATATTTATAAACACTGGCAAATCACTGACAGAGAAAAGGTCATTTTTTCAAGCGAAACAGTGTAAACAAAAATTCTCCAGTCAAGTTCAATGAAATGTTTGATCTGGCGCTTCAAAGGAAAGTTCTTCTTAAAAAAATTTATTTTCTCCTGCAGGACGTGCAGGTATATCGTTACTACCGGGACCTCATCAACTTTCGTTGCCGTGGCGACCCCAGCATGATGCTTCGCTGCATCAACCCCAAGGAAGCGCAGCTCCTGGATGCCGCAGCGGGGATCCACATCAAATTCAGACTCGCTGGCGTGAGTGCCTTCTATTTGCCTTGACAACGATTCACAATCTAGGCTTGGTCTTTGTTTTAGGCTCTGACAGATCTCTGACATCGAAACCCTTTTTAGGCTCATAACGCTTGAGAGTGAATGAAATTATCTCTTGGGATTTGTATCATGCCTTCTAATTCTTCTCTTTAAAAAAAACGTGACTTTTTATCGAGCTTCAAAATTCCAGAGTGGTGGGGGGCTGGTAAATAACGGGCAAGGCTGAAGGTGGGATCGGTATTAATCAAATATTTGGAAAACCACCGTATTTTCTGACGTTGCGTCGACATCTTTCATCTTGTTTTATTCCACCTCCTCCTCAGGAGAGATTCCCACCCAATATTTACTACAAGATCTTCACCCACCGCAATGTGGTGGACATGTGCGCCAACAGCCCCAAGGATTACACGGCGGCCGCCGCCAAGCGGCGTGCGGCCCGAGACGTCCACAACCACCACCTGAAGGATGGCAGTGGGGCCAGAGAAGGCGAGAGAGAGGGCTGGTACCAAAGGATTGAGAACAACGGGTGGCGTCTGGTCTCAGACAGAGTGAGTTTGGTTTTTGTGCCATCGGTGACTCACTTAATCACTCAGCTACTCACTCGGTAACTCGGGCCAAGCTTGAGCAATGGTCAGGCCATTTTTAGGTACCAGGCAAAATGGACCATTGGACAAATGGTCCTCACTCCAGCTCGTCCTCAGATTCGTGACGTCCATCGATACACTCACATATGCTTACGTCCGTCCGTATCCAAATCAGTTGGCTATGGCTCAAAATAACGCCGTTTCGATGGCAAGTGGCTGCATCCACCAGCCAAGCCTCCTGTAGACATCACATGGTATTGCCAGCCATAGCCACAACCTATGGGACATCGGCTTAGTCTTGTTCTCAGCAACCCGTAGTTATTTGTCAAAATAAATCATGGAGCTTTACAAATGCTGGTCCTATTACAGTTGCTCCTACGACCCGAGCAAGACCCCGTGACTTGGGAGAGCAGTAGCAGGAAGGTGGACTTCCCCCACACCAAGCTACAGAGGAAGCAAGACGTGGAGAGAAAGAAGAAACAGCGGAAGGTGGAATGGATGAAGAAGATGTGAGTTGAGTACTCTAACGGACGATGGACGATTAGGGAAGCCGAGCCTATCACAAGACCATCACATGTGCTCATGAGAACTTCCAAAGTCAAATCACAAGTCAGTCACCAGCTTATTATCACAAGTGCATCGTAAGCCAGTCCCGAGACCATTGCAGTCGATCGCAAGTCAAATCACAGGCCCATTACAGGTCCATCTCAAGACAATCACAAGACCATCGCAAGGTCATCACAAACGTATCGCAAGCTCGCCACATTTCTAAGCTCAGGGAAATTTATCAGGGAACCAGTTAAAAGGCAGTATGTGTCGCATGACGTTTTTGGCTGGTAACTTGTTCTTGCTCGGCAAATATTTCCTGTGCTAATTTACAGTTCTTTTCCTGTCAGCTCAGTGAAGTATTTTACCCCCATGATATTGGAGAGGTCAAAAACCTGAACATTCTTTTCAAAGTCTGTCAAAAAATTAAATTGCGTTCGGTAAATATTAGAAAGAAAATGCCAGAAAGATAACTGAATCTTGAAACTTTTTTAGGTACCGGGAGGGTATGCTTCAGGCCAAGACCGAAGACTCGGACACCAAGTCGCTGGTCGAGGGTGCTGCAGCAGGTATGGTGGCGGCCATCGAAAGCCAGGGGTCGGAGGTCGTGGAGGAGTGGGAGGTGGACGAACTCCTGGAGTGGACCAGTGGCCTAAACTTTGATGAGTGAGTAGCCAGGTTTTATTTGCTTGGCTATCTGCCTTGAGCAGAAGCACCCCCTCATGGGTTGAACAGAGCCAGGTTTGTCAGGAGTGTTCGTTTTGCTGGTAGTGACGTGACCGTAACATGTGCATTTCATAGTCGTTTGGGAACCAGCAAAGCGCAGTTCCGACCGAAGGAGCCTGCATTGCTAGGAAAATTGCATCCTCTTCTGGTTAAGCTTGGTCCAGTAAACTTGAAATAATGCGTACTTCTGGAGAGTCTGGTAGAAGTCCTAGAGTTTGGTTTTTCAGATTTCTGTGGGAAACCTGTTTCAGCCCTCGCCAAATATTAAATTGGACCCTACATAAGTCACTCCAACGGTGGTTGATACAAAGTCCAGGGTTGGTTTTTTCTTGTGAGACATTCCTGCCATGCCAGCTTCGACTTGTTTACTTCAGGAAACATTCCAGTTGGGCGCGACATCTGAAAAATGTTCATCCCACTGTTAAGTGACTTCTCGTGCTTCAAATCTCAACTTTCCCCGTTCACGTGTGTTCACATGAGGCTGAACATTTCCTTGTATGAAATGTGCCATCATGGAATGAAACAAAAACCACCTTTTCTTTAAGTTCCCCCCCAAAAATTGAGTGGTCAACGGGGCCAGAGTTTTCGCTTTGTTTTTTTCCTTGTTATGTGCAATTTTAAAATCACGTTCATTTTCATCCACAGTTATTTGACATCATGGAAGGAATTGGCCACAAGTTCGGGCTCCGAGAAATATGTTGGTAAGTTTAATTTTCTAGCATATCCACCAGTGTGTTTACTGGATTGCTAACCGTGATGAATCAATTTCTCGTTTTTTCAAAGCCTCATTGAACACCAGAGCACCAGCAGATCTCTGTTTTTGGTTACCAAGACTGCAGAAATTGCAGATTATTTTTTCTCCTCAATTGCCACAGAGGAGAGACTGAAGTTCGACACGACTGGCAAAGATCCCTACGAGTTCAGCATCACTTTTGCTGCCTTGCCCACGCCGTCCAGACTAACCTCCCTCCAGCCGCCAAAGACGTCGCCAGCCGTCTCCGTTCAGTAAAGCAGGTACGAAGACATTTTATTCACGTGCCTGGATGCAGCCTATTTGTGGAGACTACCGTTTCAGTCATGGTCACAGTCCGTCCTTTCATTTGCTTGCTGTAACTTTGAATATTGTGTATCGATTGCAACGTTGCACGGGCTGCGGCTCAAAATGACATGTGCACATGCAGAAGCCACTGGGCTAGAGGCTGCAACCACTCCCCATTAATGCGTGCACCACACCTAGCCATAGCCTGCCAATTGGGAGACTACCTTACAGTATTCCCTAACAAGTTGTTCTTCAAAGCCAAAAAAAGCTCTCATTGTCCGTGCATGGATAGGGGACAAATTTTGCATTTTTTTGTCGTTACACATCCGTCTTACTCAGTGGATTTTACGTTGTTTACTTTTTTCCCCTGATTATCGCTAAATATGGTTTTTAAAAATCCACTAAAATGCAAGAGAAACTATCACATCAACATTCCAACTAAGAGGGTCTCTGCAAAGAACTGTTCTGTGACTGTAAAGTTTTCCACTCATCAAACGTTGCCTGAGAATGTCTCGCTTAAAATCCGAAGACATTTTGGTTTGTAAATAATCCCTTTGGTCAATAAAAATTTGTAGTAGGACTGTATTCCTTTCATCTATCCACGGCGAAAGGTGTAAGTGGGTCAACGTTCTTTCAGATTTTGGAGTGAGTTCATCGGACTCATCTCTTTTTTTTCCCAGGAGGTATTGGCATAAAAATCACAGAGTGATTCGCGGAAGACATTCCTTAAAGAATTGATGCTCATTCTGTCTCATTTCCAAAAAAATCATACATGTGGGAAAATAGGAATTTAAATTGCTGCCAAGTAATTCTCAAGCCCTTTCCCTCCCCCCAACATTCCATCCGTACAAACTTGTCCCCAGCTTTCCACCTGAAAGAGGAAACTCCATCGACACACTTTCTCCACATATTCCACCAAGCACTCCCCCAACACCCCATCCCCCCCAAAAAAATGTCCCCAAATCATAATGAAACAGACCACGTGACCAGCAACAGTAATAACTCACCTCGCGACGCCTCTGCCTTATGCTTTTTTTTTTTTAAAAGAGCGAGATATTTTATTGCGAGCGAAAATGAGACACGGATCTTGAATAGCCAAGTTGCCGACTGCTACAAGCATAATCATATACAGAGGAAGGCATGCAATGAAAGGATTAGCGACTGTACATAATACCTCAACCTTAGAACACAGCGACTAATAAATATTAATTATGGCCTTTTATCTCCTTGTTATAAATTTACCTCAAGACTATAATACAAGTCGGTACCCAGACAGAAGAGGGGGGAAAAAAAAAGCAGATATCAACTTCTAATTTCCTGCAAGTCGTTAATATTGCATCAGTGCCATGGCAACGTGTAAGCGAGCAATAAATACTACCAAAAACCAAAAAATTTTTAAAAAAAAACCTGCGTGCTGTGTACTCCATACCGTGCTTTGAACTCACTAAGGTGCTTTTTGCCCTACTTTTATTTTTCAGACATAACCGAAAAATTCTACACGTGTAGCCTCAGAAGTCTATCAAATCAATGTTATTCTTGTTATATATATACACATATTTGTTATGTATTGCCGGTTATGTAATGGGAAGGAAACTGTAAATGCATGTTTGGTGCTAGCTTTAAGGTTAATTCATCACAGCTGAAGAAAGCGACATTGTGTCGTTAGAGACATCTTCAGCTAAGACTGGAAAGCCTTAGCTTGTACTTATTGTCCGAGTGAGCGTCATTCCAAATTCCCAACTCCCCCCCATTTTTCGTTGTTTCTTTTACGCGCAATGAGGTCCCGTTTCGTCAGTAATGATGAACTTACCTCACACTTATCTAAAGCCAAAAAAATGTGCTCGCCTTGCTGTCCTATGTCTCGTTCGGTATTAAAGGAAGTGATTGACTGTAAAGTACGTCCTATCATGCTAGGGTGGAACCAACTCTTTTTTTATTTCGCAAGCCAGTCAGGAGTGGCAAATGATCGGTGAGGAGGCAAGTGATTTGTCCAAAATCGAGGCAATCCACACTGCTCTACGAAGTGCATCAAAATACCTAAACTTGACTAGCAAAGCTCACAAGATACTGGCAACTGATCGACTCCTTCTCACTTCCAACTTTTGATCCTGTTTTGGCGACGAAAAAGTGGCGATCTTTACGTCGCGAAGAAAACCGAGTACGTCTGGAACATTAGCAGTGCCCGATGAAACTTTACAAGAGTCTTCAACATTAACTGTGATGTTGTTTCATCATTGTCTGCAGTGTCATTTCCTTTTTTTACATGCATCCTAAGCATAACAACATAGCTAAATTTAGGAATAAGAAAAAAACTGCTTTTTCTTTGAAAGTAAACTTCACGTTCCCCTCCTCTCCATTTTTCCCTCAGAAAAAAAATTAATAAAATTCACAGGCTCAGTACAGCAAATCTAAAAAGTGAAATCGAACGATTGCTTAAATTGATGTTACTTTTCTGTTCTAAAATTTTTGAGCCGTCGTTTTGTCTTTTACGTGATTGCATTTGAATGGAGATTAAAGGCAGGTTTCAGCAGAAAATTTGAAGGTGGGTCGTATAAGACCGGCTCATGCTCGGCACAAGATTGAACCTGAAAGTGAGCTTTATTTGACATCATAAGGTGTTCCCTGCCAAATTTGCCAAGAGTTGAAATCTGTTGCGACTTGGCAGCGAGGATATTCGCTGAGACATGGCAGCTCGTTGGTCTGCGTTCCCTGTCATGCCAAACACGAACTGGCCTTTATCAAAGCATTAGATCAAGAAAGCGATATTCTACTGACGTCCCTGCTACTGAGCGAAAATTGCATCTAGTTGATGATTTGTCTGGGCGCCCCGAAGTTCTGGCCGGCCTGGGTGGCCCCCTTGTTGGAGCCCATCTGCAGCGAGTGGATGTGCTTGCCGGCGTCCAGCTGCTCCTGGGTCCACTCGCGCTTTTCCCCGCAGGCCTGCTTGGGGCCCAGGATGGGGCCACAGTAGCAGGGATCCATCTGCAACTGTAAAATCCCATCAGGAAAGAGAGAGAGAGAGAGAGAGAGAAAAAAAAACGTTTTCAGTAAAATGCAATAAGACTTGAAGTCCTGAAAATGGAAAAATAAAACTGACAGTGTGTTGAGCTCTTTGCGGCCAAAATATTTCAAACATTTTCATAAACGACAGCAATGGTACATTGCATTTGTCTGTAGATATGTTACTGATTCTTTCCATCAAAGAGGTTGGCCTCTGAAACACATTTTCGATTGTGTTTCTCTTTGTGTCACTGATTGACAAGTCCATACTCCAATTATTTTTAATTTAATCGTTGGTAATGTTCCAATTTTACTGGAAGGTGGGGGAGTGTGTCTTTCGGAAGCTTTCCCCAACAGTTAAAATCATTAAAAACTCACTTTAAAGCTCAATAAACTGACTTCTCTAGCCATTATTAAAAAAAAAGGAAGAGAGAATGAAAAAAAATTGCGGCAGACTGGACCGAACTATTTCGGAGAGGGAACAGACAGTAAAGATAGGGGCTGTCGTTAGAGATGAATTGTACTGTTTTAGCTTCCCCAATGTTATAAGCATCCTTCGAACATAGATGCGATTGGTTGGAAAATGCCGTAGTCAAGGAGGTTGGACTTCAATTTCAGTTTGGTTCGTTTGTTTAGCATATGGATTGACTTCGGTGTACCATATCTGTGAGCCCTTCTCTGTTCTGTCTGTCCGACCCTTTTTTCGGTTGGGTTTCATTCGGCAGAAATCAAACGTTATATGACCAACTTACACCTAAAAATTAAAAAGCTATGAACAGCTGACGTGGGTCTTGGCCTGAAACAAAAGACACATTTACTTGTTAAAACAAGAAATTATTTTTGAAGCACAATGAAAAAGGATTTTGAAAGGATGCTGTCGCATTTGTGTCAGTACAGCTATTTGGAGAAACCGCTTGCGGCTTTACAAATTGTCGATACGTTTCCTCCAAAGTTTAAGTTTGTTTTTCCCCTTAAGTTTATTAAGATGATATTAATATTAATGTCAGATTTTTGCTCTGCCCGACGTGTATTTTAACACTGTATACTCAGTGTATGCCTCCGAAGGCTTGTGAAAAAACCACAAGCGTACTCGGGTGGGACTCGAACCCACGACCTCTTGCTTACTAGTGCAGACGTCTTAACCACTCGACCACCGAGCTTGCCGTTTCGGCTGGCTGGTTCGAATCAGATTCGAACAAGCTCGGTGGTCGAGTGTTTAAGACGTCTACATTAGTAAGCAGGAGGTCGTGGGTTCGAGTCCCATCCGAGTACGCTTGTGTTTTTTTTCAAAAGCCTTTGGGGGCATACACTGAGTATACAGTGTTAAAACACACGGGGGGTAGGGCAAAAATCTAACATTGATTTACATCTCCCCGGCGCAAATCCGTCTTTGAAATTATATTAACATGATGCTGTATCATTTCTCAATTCAGACCTTCCCTGATCTTTTCAAAAGCTACCCAGTAGTTCTGGGCATGTTGTCTGTTTCCCTTGTGAAAGTTTCAGTCCAAATCCAATCGTGCAATTTGACTTTGCATGCTGGTAGATTGTGGGAGTAGATTGTGAAAAGTTCCAGCTGCAAACATTTGGGGGGGGGGGATTGAGTTGAGCCGATATTAAAAGGAGACTTGTAAGGCAGGCGCCAGATTACGCTCCGCACAAGATTGAATTGTGACAGTGGATTTCACATCTCAAGGTACTCCGTGCCAAATTCGTCGAAGTTGGGAAAATGTACGTTCAAATTTGTAGCCAAAATGAGGATATTTACTGACATTATGGATTGCATGTTTGCATTCATGCCAAATACAAACTGCCCTTGGGGCAAGACAGAGACAACAGTTCCGTACTAACATCTCTCTACTGTGTGACAAGTTTTTGGTTTAGTTTATGATTTGTCTGGGCGCCCCAAAGTTCTGGCCGGCCTGAGTGGCCCCCTTGTTGGAGCCCATCTGCAGCGAGTGGATGTGCTTGCCGGCGTCCAGCTGCTCCTGGGAGAAGTGCCTCTTGTTCTCTGCGGCCTGCTTGGGGCCCAGGATGGGTCCGCAGTAGCAGGGATCCATCTGCAACTGTAAAACCCCACCAGGAGAGAGAGAGAGAAAAAACTGATTGGTTTTAGCGTCGAATGTGAAGCATTATTTTTGTTGGCGATTTGGCTGTGTGGAGGTGTTGAGGAGTGCTGGTTAGTCGACATCCGCCCCTGACGGACTCAGGGAAGACGATCGAGAAAAAGAGTTCAGATGGTGTTGACAGAGATGCTTAGCTAATGAGAAGCAGTGCGGAGGGAGGACACTGTACCAAACAGGTACCACCAGAGCTGTTGTGGATTGCATCCCTTTATCTCTTCTTCAACCTCTTTCCCCCTTTAAGGCATCAGTCCAGTTTTGGTGGGATTGAGTTCGTTAGGATGAAGGCAGATATATAATTTGAAATCCGATGAAGGTGCCCAAACTTTTAAACAAAATGGTCAGTGAAGCTGCAGGGCGAGCTTTTCCTCAAAACGTCTTTTCATGCTTTGGACGCGCAGTGCCTCTTGTGTGGATATGTGGAGTGCCCCCCCCGTCACACACAAAAACTCTGGTGAACCCCCCCTGGTGAATGAGCCACTGATAGGGTGAAGCAGCTATGTTACAAGTCACAGCGGACGTTGAGAACAGTCTGAGGGAAGATGGATAGAAAGAATGAGTGGAGGTTAGAGGAGAAGAAAGACATGTTGACAGATAGATGATGGAAGACGAACACACAGATGGAAGATTGAAGCAACACGACTGGAAAGGAGAAAAGGCAAGTAGAGAGAACAGCAGGAAGATGTAAGATGGGGGAGTGTGGTCAGTAACTGTCACTGAAGACCTGAAATGATATATGTGAGGACCTCGCATGTACGAGGACTCCTTCGAACCTCTGGGGGACAGTGTCCTCGCACATGAGGTCCTCGGAGCTTCTGAGGACTAGCCTTGGTTATTGCCAACCAGCGATATAATGAAAATCAGAATATGCTTATTAAATTGCGCATGGAGCTCTGTCTTAAAGCTCTTTACGCTCATTTTGGCTAGCAACATTTTCAGCGGTTAGTCTTCAACGTGCACCTTATCATTTGCCGTTTATGACTTTTTTGCACGTGACATTGTCTTGAAAGATTAAAACAGTCCATGCAGTGTTAGAACCATGGCGGTTAATACGTGTAATGTGTAAGCATGCCGACGGCTCCAAAAGTACATAGATTGCTAGAGGGAAATAGGGACAGGAAAACTTGATGTGGTAGTGTCACGTGAATAGAATCAAACTGGGAAATTTGTGACTCGAAGATTGGGGCACGGCTACATTTTTTTCAGCGGATGACGTGCCAAAACAAAGTCGTATCAAAAGGAACACTCTAAATGCAGGGGACAAGGTTGCTCATGGCGCGTAAGCAGCCGTCAGTAACTGCCATATTAGGAAGTCGGGAGAGAACTCTCGTGCGAATCGTGCGTCTATAGATCCGGGTCAAGGTCTTCACAGTTTACAAAATTGGCCCCTAATGTGGGCACATACCGGCTGTGGAGAGCCGTAGCTTTGGAAGAAGGCCGTGTCCGACATTGGCTTCCAGAGCTACTGTCTGCGCGTCTCCACGCAATTCCAATGGAGCGAAGACCCAGACCTAGCTCTAGACAAGAGATTCGGATGCAGCCTCATTTCAGGTTGATAATTGGATGCACTGCACACAGGGACTACCGAGAGAGGCTATGCGTGGATGCAGAGTTTATGAAACGGTCAGACTTTTGGAAGGGTTGGACAGAAGCGTGCATGGAGAGGCTGAGTGCAAAAGTGAGATGAGACATGAAAGCGTGAGATCGACCGAGAGGGGGCGTACGTGTACTTACTTTGCGGCCGATGGCGTAGATGCACTGTGTGAACTGTGGAAGATTCTTGCCCTCAAACAGGTCGTTCACTTGGAAGAGTTCCTGCTCTTTGAGACCGAACCGTTTGCATCCCTCGATGAAAGACTCCACGTTTGCTCTCTGTGGGATGAAGGAGTTTCAGAGACAATTCGTAGTGGTGGTTGTGGTGATAGTGGTGGCTTGTGTGTGGTGGAGAGGGTGTCGGTTGTGGGCGGAAGGAAGTGACAGTGGGTGGAGAGGGAATGGTGAGACGAGGGGTGGTGAGCAGGATGTTTACAAAGGACGAAGGGTGACCGGTGGTAGACTGGTCCCCGTCCCTGTTATATAGAGTAGCTAGCAGGCGTCGCGTACGTCTGCAGGGTTTGTGGTTGGTCGGTTGAACTCGCATTTTTAAAATTTTTTATAGAGATGGTGTTTACTTAATACAACCTTTCGTGCGCGTGACAGCTGAACACGTGACTCCCTGGAAAACATCGGAAAAGATTTTTCCTCTGTAATTACGGAAGTGGTTACCCCTAAAATGCAGGTAAATATGTCTGAAAGTTGTGTTGTATGCGGAAATGACTCAAAAGAAATAACGGCAATCCATTCTAGAAAGACTTCGAAAGTTTGTGACGTAGCAGTGTAACATTGTGGGAATAGGCTAATTTCCTCAGGATTCCCCCGGAATCATTACCTCTATAGAAACGTCTGTGAGACGTCTGGAGATAACGTACGGGGAGGGGACCAGTCTAGGCCGGTGTCAGTCGCCTGCAGGGTGGTGTTGTGGTGGTTATAGCAACGCAGTTGCGGTTTAAGGGTTACCAGGGGATGTGGTAATACAGTGACGGGCGATTCACGAAATTGTGCCTCCTAGAGTTTGCAACGCGTTGACCAATCAAAGTGCGCAAAATCTGTCGACCCAAGGTGCGTTTAGAAAGGATAGACAGATTTTGCGTTTTATGGTTGGTCAACGCGTTGCAAACTCTTGGAGGCGCACTCTCGTGGAACCCGTCTCAACCATCTCTACATTACTTATCATCCGCAAGAAAAGGATACTCGACAAGATGTATGTAATGGGTAATAACGACAGCAATCCTGCAGTGAATTTGGTGGTGATATGAAACAATGCCGAATGTTACTTCGACACTTTCTCAATCCCAAAAGTTTCGGGGTAGGCTGCGCACCGAAAAAAAAACTGACCTTTTCGGACAGCTGGAGATTGTACATTCACCAATCCAACTCAAGTGGAAACGTTGTTTCAGGTATTGTCAAGAAAAAGGGGGGCGCAAAACATGCCTGTATGGTTTGGCCCGGATACCCATATCTTCACTTTTCCCCAAAAGCAACGAAGAGTTTCAGACTTACCATTTTGAAAGGGGCATTTCCCTGGTCGCACTTCACTTTGTTGTCGATGATACCATTTATTAATCTGTAAAACAAGGAGGATCGTTGAAAAGTAGTCCGTGTGAAGATGCCGATGGATGAGTGGGCTTTGTAAACATTCTTGTGAAATTAGAATCCTTGTTGGGTATTCCTGGATCAAACTTATCTTTTCCTAAGCACTTAGTTCTAAAAGTCAGAAAATCTTTGGCGGTGCTTTCAACCTGCTTTAAGGTACGCGTATAAGAAATCGACATTTTGTGATGTCTTGAATTTTGACAGTGCACCTGTTTCTCAAATTTGTTATCAAGCTTAGCCTCCCTTTATTACCATTTGATCGGCTTTTGGGGGGGGGGTGAGCAGTGGCCGTGATCTTGTTTTGAGACAGATCCAGAATTTATTGATGACTCTGCGGTGACGTCATCATGGACACATGCCACGTCATACGTTACTTGGGGCTGTATGGGAAGAGATGTAAACTTGACCCTAAAAGAGCCGGTGGGCAGCCCTTAACATTTTTCCCGATATCGCCGCAGTGCATTTTTTCAGGAGCTGAGCCTTTAGTAGTTTTTAGAGTAACTCTTTGTGGTCATTTTGATGCCATATTGGTGAAAATTGGACATACCGTTCTTGCGCAATGCGCAGTTTTCTGAGACGGATCAGCCAAAAATATATACTTTTTCCACTGCGGTGCTCAGTGCACGCGGGCTGGCACGCATGTAGCCATGAACTTCAAATGACCGTATCAACAAAACTGTAAATCTCATTGAGTTCAAACTTCACGTGTGTATTGATCATGAGTGCCTTTACATGTGCATCAAGTCTTAAAAAATTCGAGTACTGGGGAGCGGAATCCACCCCAGCCGGCTGTGAGATGGGCCAAAATAGCCCGGCTCTTTTAACCTGCATGGAAATCTGGAGCCCCCGCACCTCTAAGTTATGGAAATCCAGAGAAATGCACTTCAAACTTCTCTCTCGAACAGGGCTTCGACAGTTTCTTTGTTTCGAGTACCCTGTCTGTTTTTCCCCAGGGACCAAGAAATTGAAATTTCTCTTACTCGCAGAGAATCTTCCCGTCCTTCAGGCATTCAATGTTGTCTACGTCAATGTCATTTGACCCGGTCCTCTCCTGGATGAATATCATCATGTCGTGTTCCTGTTGGGCATCTCTCTTACCCTCGATCTGAAAAGGAGAATGTTTGAATTTTTTATTCCTTTGGCAAATGGGAATTATTCGAATTGGACCCTCGAAGAATGTTTCAAGTAGACGTTTTATCCCTTGGAAGACAAAAGCTCCAAGTCATGTAAATATTCCAAGAATGCCGAATTTCTCGAAATGCTCAAAGACTTTTCCAAGAGCTTTTTATTTTTAGACGTCATAAGTGGAAATCAAGAGATCTTCTGTTTTATTCCAAGCAGTGCACGCAGTAGAATCCTGGACTTGACTTTTTAATTTGTGGCAACGAGTGATTTGAAATCCGAACATTTTATTTCAAAAAAATAGGAGCCACTTTTTAAAAACTTTGTTCATGCATACCGTTCCCATCGTTGGCTACTGTATCAAGATTGACCATGAACAGAATTGTCGCGGTCAATGACGAGAACAGTTAAATCACAGTGAGAGAAATCGTCAACAATCGTATGATGACATGTGACCCTAGAGAAAACACCAACACTTTCTCCGATCCATCTTATCCAAATTCATTACTATTATGTCACAGAAGACAGAGTCTTTCAATTTAAGGCCACGCCGTTGGTTGTGGAAGGTAGCCAGGCAGAAACCACCACGCGCCCCCAATTTTATCTCGGACCAGCACCCGATCAGTCGCGGCTGGGCGGTCGCCAAAAGCCCGCACAGCGCTGGATTGTTTGCCTATATATGGCGCGGCGGCTGGGTCCGTCCCTGACAGCAGCGCACTGTCTGGGGCCCAGGCTAGGCGACGCTCAACATGCCTTGCATAGCATCTTCAGGTATCGGTGTCGATACTGGTGGAGACCGGGAACGAACTCGGACGTACGTCTTGAAAGATGTTCCTGGCTTGGTATGCGGTTATTGGCGTTTAAACAAAAGAGACATAATTGGTTGTCAATAATTCTCACTCCATGCCTGATTTAGACAATTTTAACTCGAATGTGGCGGTACCACGGGGAAACAACTTATTTTTGCAGGGATAAGCATCAAATTGGCATATTTTACTTCCTACAGGGCATTTGAAAGATCTTTCGACTCGATTTGGCTTCAAATGGCTATCAACTTCACGAAGGTGAAACTTGTTTTTGCTAGGTTAAAGCACGTGATAATTTTCATCATTGGGAATGATTAGCAGACTTCGATTAAGCTCTTGTAAAATCTATATCGATTTATGACTCGAGCAACTTAAAAGATATTTCATGATTTTCTGTCCATTCGTTTAAATCGATATAAACTGGATTCATTGAATATAAATAATGAGTCGCTAAGAGTGTGGCTGCGTCCTTAAGTTACGGATGAGGCTTAACATGGGCACACTGTGGCCATTGGCTAGCGACTACGGCTACGTATATAGATGCATATGTAACTCCCAGTCGAAGCCAGTTGATTCGAGAAAAGCCCTTCTCTTTGAGCCAGTGGCACAACGAGGGAAAAATATGCAGAGATGACAACTTGGTGGGATCCATTTTAATTGGCCTGAGATTGATGGCCTGTTTGTTTGACAAGGTACGTTTTGCGGTATGCGATGCCGTTTTCTGGCTGGCCCAGCCAGCTCTGTCTCTCTCTCTCTCTCTCTTTCTGGCCGGCTGTAATCACGCGCGCCCGGCCCACTCACTTGGAACAGAATTATCAAGATGACTGCGATTTGAGTTGAATCTTTGCCCAGCTGGTGTGCGACCTGGTTTTCCGGTTCATGCTGATATTTGTGTTTTCTCCTGTTCTACGAAAAACGGTTCCCTAGCTTGGTCACCAGTGTCAAATTGGCAGAAGCCAATACAAGTAAGTGAAATTGTTACGACGAAGTTATTGCGCTGTTTTTTTTTGACGGCGCCAGTGTAGCAGTTGAACTCTGTGAGTGGCTTCTTCGTCTTCTTCTAAAAATGGCATTTAAAACGACACCAGGCTGAGTCAGAGTTGCCCCCCCCATTCCAGAGATTCCTCCAACCGACAGCTGAAGAGGTGTCGAGCAGCGGGGAATCTTGACCGCGATGTTTGCTTGCAAGTCGCAGTTCGAGCTGCGGCTGAACTGCCACGTCGTAGAATGTAACTCTTCGACCCCAAGAAGAAGAGGAGGGAAGAGGCGTGTGACAAACGGCACGCGTTGGGATCGTCCGTCCTGCGACGCCAATAATACCAGTCGCGCCTGAAATCCCAGCACCCATTGACCTTAATTTAAGGGGGGCAGGCGGCTTATTGTCATAAGTTGAAATTTTTACAAAAACCTTTGTTTTCAATAACAAAAAAGATTTAATAAGTTTGGTTCTGTAGAAAGCCTGCACGCAAAACAACTGATTGGTGGCAGCAAACAGGTTCAGTGGACCTGCGCACAACTTCACAGTATCTGACCAGTGCAAAAGTAATGATTACAAATCATGTTTAGTGTTGATTAGGCCTACTTCCTGTGTCCTTTTCGTGACTGTTTCCAGGAAGAAACTGACACAATCTAAGAAAGGGACACACTTGATGCAATAAAGACGACCTCGTGGCGTCACTATAAGGGTTGTTTTTTGCTGCTCTGTAAGTAGTCTGAATGACGTCATAGTAGGCCAGTAAACCCGGATGTAGACAAAACAAAAGTCGCAGGAATCGGCTAAGACCACATTCCTTTTGAGTTGAAGGTATTTCAGGGTATTAGAGCCGGAATTCCATACCACGCCCTGCCGACGCATATGTTCACTCCCCTGCCCTTGTGCACCACTTTGTTTAGAGCTAGCGCATGCGTAGTCGATCAATTTACTGTGGATGTAGGCAGGCGACGTCGAACATCGTTCCGGCATTTCTTTTCGCGGATGAAGATCATAATTATTTTTCAACAAAACACAAATAAGTAACGTTCACGAAGATAACCTGATAACTAAAACTGGATAAGACAACATTAAACCACCGCATTATATGAACCCAGTTGCACTAAATTTGAAACAAGTGATTTTTACACAAAAAATAAACACAATCAGATAGGAAAGAAAATAAATCTATGGTCTTTTCCATTTTAAAACAACTTCTCCAGTTTATCCAAACAAACAAACTAAAGTGCCGTGTGTATTAAGGTGTAATAAAAACACGGGTAGTATTTTAAAGTTATTGCGAATTTATTATCTTGCACGAGAATCATTTTTCCGTACTAGTTACGTGCGTGGATGGAGTACATGATCATGTGTACACGAACTTGCACATGCGCACACGTAAACCATGGCCGACCAGTCGACAGGGAGCCAAAATTGAAATTGATGAAACTAACAAAGGACAATTCGCTTTAGCTTAAACATAACATGGTAACCTTTTTCAAACACCCTGTCAGTAATCAGGATATGCAGCATGTGTGGACCAAATGGAGAACAATTCAAATTTTCAAGTTTAAAATACCCTTTTTTTTGCGTTCAGAAATGTAACGTACACCATGGAGGAAGGAGCCTCCATGCGTACACGGACATCTTTCACCCCATTTTCTCCCAAATGTCATTTTGGATTAACAAGAAACACATCACAAAATGAAATCTGAAGCCTGATTATATTTCTCTGGTATAAATTCAGCAAACTTTTAACACAGTGCGGAAGATCTCCGCAGATAGATTTGGGCGTTGTCATTTGCTGGCTGGCGTCGCCATTTACGAGCAACAGAAAGTGACCTCGACTTTGCCGAATTTTAGCGCATGCGCACAAACCTCAGTGGAAGGGTGAACATACGTGCCGAGCTAGCTCTGAAGAAGGGAACCCGACGGTGGAAATTCCCGAAATTATCCACATGATTGAGCACCAAACGGGCCGGTAGCTCATCAGGCGATCAAATGCCACTTTCGACGGACCGCACCGGGGGAACTGGACGCCGATACCTACGACTATGAGGTAAATCAGGATTGGATTGATAACTCTGGCCTGTAATGTTTCTTTGTAATTGTTAAGGCCAATGGTCATTTTGTGAGGGAACTTAGCGCAAGATGTCATAGGGTTTGATGCTACGGACAATATTTCGACGAACCAAAAAACCCTCCGGCATCGTGCTCACAAAACGTAATAATTGTATCCAACTATGATTGCAACCGATATTCAAATAAAACCATTGCTTGTTCATAACGGGGTTGAAGTCATCCATTCATCATGTAGGCTGCGGTGTCAGCCCGCAGTCCTACACAAAAAGAATCACAGAAACCACATAATGTACGGATATTCGCATGGTTCGTGTTGGTCCGAGCCTAGACCACAGGGGTTGTGGCGCCCATGCCACAATCCGGACAATTACAAGCAAGCTCCCACAACAAATATGGGAACGTTCACGCACCAAAGAATGCCAGGAATCTACAGCTGTTGCGAGGACGGAGTGTCGGGGCCGATTCAGCCCGAACGCTAATTTGACGTGGGGCGGTGGGGGGGTGGTACAAAACAACTCTAAATGTGAACATCTACTAAAGTTAATAAAATTTACCCACAACTCAAATTAAACGATTTTAGTTTCCGGTATATAGTAAATATTTTCAATTAGTATCGAATGACCCCGTCCTTGTTTCGTCAGAGCGAATTTAACCCAAATAGTCAATGATATTGGAAACGAATTTCCAGCATTAGGGGAGTTGGCTTGCTCGATGAGATCTATTTTTTGTCGTAAAATATAACAGTTTTAAAATTTGGTTTCAATATTCGCCATCTTATTTGAAATCTACCCTTTTACGGATATTTACGGGCACAGAAACTGTGTACAAATTAAGTCGAATGCGAAATACTCGTATTGAAACTGATATGCCGACAAGTCGACACAATTCGAAAAAAATGATATAAACTGTTGAACAAAGAATCCCAAAATTTTCAGTAGAGTCCACTTTCGAACAGTGTTCATGTAAATTTTCTAAAAGTCACTTCAGTACAAAACTCGTGCTGAATAATTATTTTTTCAAGGGTAAACTTCTTTAACTGAAGGATTCCAGCGATTAATTTAATGACAACTCCTCTCAACGTTTACATATGTATAAATGTTGTTATTGTTTGATAGCCGCTGGATGATTGATCAACAAAGTTATCTCTTTCAAACAAGAATCACACGAAATGAAAACAAACTTCGCACCAACCTTCTTTTTCCTTGCCAACATGTCTCCGTACGCTGGGCCTACGTTTGCCATTTTGAGGGAAGTTTTGGCTTCTCAAAGAATTCCAAAAGTAAATGTTGCAAAACAGCTTCAACACCAGTAATTTTCCGGTGAAGCTCCCGAGCGCTCGTATCGACGGCGAATGACGGAGTGGGGAACGACGATCGGTACTTGTCCGCAGCGAGAAACTTTTCCGATTCCAAAGAGCAGACGCACCGCACGGACATGTAAAACCATTTAAAGCTTTTTCGAGGGCCGCCGCTGATTGGCTGGCCTGCCTGGGCCGCATATTTGTCTAATTGATCGATCTGGCCTCGCAATTGGCCTAGGCGCACGAGGTGGGCGGGGCTGTTCCTAATATGGTGTAAGGTATGCGTGAGTGGCGGGTGAAGGTAATTTTACCGCGTTGATGTCAGCAGAGCAGCCTGACAAGCATTCTGCCTCGGCGGTATGTCGCAGGGGCAAAGCAGCCGAGGATTTCCACTTAAGGACATGGTCTGTCCGTGCTTTAAAACGCGAGTCTGATGCATTGGGCACGAGAAAAAAGATAATCTGACGATTACAGCCAAGTCTAGAATCTTCTTCGCGAGAAACTTGTGTCGTTGTCAGTTTCTGTTGATTGTATAAACTGGCTGTGAACTTGAAGTAGACATGCACACGGCGTGGGCTGGATGTAAGCAGCCCTATATGCGGAAATGTCACTGGTGGTTATTGGACTTTGTAAAATTATCTTTGGAGTTAGGCCTACCAACACTAGCAAGTTGTCTTCGTGTAAACATTTCACCAATTTCCCATTAAACACAACACAGTCAATATCTCACGCACATCAGTTTGCATTTGCATGGAACAGATTTTGGGACATAGGACGATAGGAAATCTGTCACAGAAAATCGCACTTAAAGAATATCGATGAAAAACTTGAAAGGTGGCTGGGACAGCTGTGAAGCTCCCAACATCTCCCCTCATTACTTCACAACACAAACAAAAAATTCATACATCATTCATTTTTGTAATTCCAAAATGACACCGGCTTGTATTTGATTTGAATACACCGAAGCCTGCTATAGCTGGTCACCCATTCCTCGAGTACCAGGCGAGACCAAGGCTGAGTGGTTTGATCAGGTAATACAAATCTCTCAAAATGTATGTGTAATGTTTATTTGCATTTCAACAGAGTTTCTTCTGTTTTTGAAGTATCGTAGACCAGGGAATGCAGAGTAGCAATATGCAACAGGACTGATGAGTATTTTGAAACAAAACCGGAAAAGCAAACTTGATAATGCACGCAAAAACCGGGACGATCGGAAAATGGACGTGGAAACTTTAAACATGGAGGTAGGGAAAGTCTTTTCCCACCTCCATGCTTTAAATGATGTTGAACCGAATTCCCTAATCGATTCTTTTACTAGTGTCGTCATAACCTTCAGTTGTGGGGCCAATTTCATAGAGCTGCTTTGGCACAAAATTTGCTTTAGCGCAAAAAAAAACTTGCTTAAAAAACGAAGGTTACCAGCTCAAAATCTGTGTGATTGTCATGCTAACCAAAAGACAGGTGAATACCATTCCAAAATAATACACATCACATGGAGTTTGGGCTGCTCAGCTGCTTTGTCAAGTAAGGTTTTTTCACGCTTAAGCAAATTTTGTGCTTAAGCAGCTCTATGAAATTGGCCCCAGCTGGATACAAACGATCCCGTAGGGGACGCACGTTCTGTTTCGCAACAGAAACCCAAACCGTGGCTATGTGCCTGTTTGGAATTAAGAGCTAAAAATGCCAGCGCTCGATCGCAGCAACAGTGTACTGTACGTAGTCATGGCTGAAATGCACGCCCCTTCCGTGCCACATCGTAGTAGTAAGCTGCTCCCGTGGCCTGTGCAGTATTTCATGCGATGTGACATTTATAAACCAGAATGCATGCGGCTACAATATTGTCTTCTATGGGCAGACACAACTGAATGTTTGTCCTCGGTACAGTCATCTCGTGTTTAAAAATCTGTCCTCGATAGGCCGTGTGTGTTTAATCGCTTCACTTTTATTTATTTATTTATTTATTTAATTTTTTTTTTGGTCTGACTTCCCAGAACAAAATGCTCCAGTTGTATTTCAAAAGAAAAGTTTTAGATGTACAGAATTCTGTCAGAAATTTCTGAACCCATTGATATCTTGGTACTGTGCGCGCGGGAATGTTGAGCGTATGAAAATCTCCTAATGTCACGCAATTGCGAAAACTGTTTTTATTCTTTTTCTCTCGGTGATATTTTGAATGCTTTATGTCACCTTCGTAGGACTTCATGAATGACGCTGACTTTTAAAGAACCATGCAACCGAAGCGTCCTGTTACATAAGAAGAACAGTATCCCGACACGACGTCATTTTTGGCTATGTTGGTTACTTGTCCAATGGAGAATGTGTTTTATTTCTCCATGCTTGTCCTAACAATAGACATACAACGGAATATTAGGGCAGGGAACCATCAACTTAAGGACGTTGACCCGTGTTGGAAGGAAGGCATCAACGAATGCCAGGCTACTCCATTAGCCTCGTCGAACGGCGACAGGCGTTTTGGTTTTATGACTAGTTGCTTGGCAACCATTGCCATGTTGATGGTTATTTTTCCGAATGTGGCGGGATTAGGCAATCAGTTCAGGAGATCTTGGAAAACGTTGAGGGTCTACACGTCCTTCAATACCATCGCACTGTAATGTATACTCTTTGGATCCCATCCGATCTTGTAAAATAGAGCGGGTGAGTATATCCACTGGAATCGACGAAAAAGAGTTGCAGTGCACACGAAAAGTGACATAACAATCTTTTTGAGGCGATGAATTCCCTTTTTGGTACAATTATGCACGTAGGCTATCTACAAGGTTACTGCACTAAGCCTCGGCAGTTTGTACAAACTCGGAGATACTCGGAGCGGGACAGTTGCAATGCCGTCAGGTTCAGTTGACCGTGTTTGGCCACGCAATGTGACACAAAACTGCCTGCCATATTGCACGGCGCATGTGGCCTAATAAAACCTGCGGTTATCAGGCCTGCTGGTACTGCATGCACATGGCGTCAATCTGTGCCGGGTATTGGGGGACGGGGGGTGACGTGCCCACCATGGGACATTTGAAAAGCGAAGTGGAGGGGTTTATATCACATAACACTTGAGGGCGATGTTCAAGATGCAGGTGCGCATCTGTAACGCGTTGGAATCCGGACTCTTACAAGAGAATGGCATATTAGATGTGCCATTCTGGCTTTAAAAAAATGTTCTCCCTCTTTGACTGCTATTGAATACATATCGGTTATTTGGAAGTCTGAAATATTCTTTACAATTCTCACCACGAAAAAGTGGAGATGTTCAACAGCCAATCCCACGGTCCCCTGGGATTTACTGGCCAACGGTGCGGCAGAAACACCCACTTCGTCACGAGCCGCTAACTCGGGCGATTCGCAATAGTGCGCCTCCAAGGTTTTGCAGCTTGTTGGCCAATCACAACGCGCGAAATCAGGCGACCCTTTCTGAACGCGCGTTGGGTTGAGAGATTTCGCGCATTGTGATTGGCCAACGCGTTGAAAACTCTTGGAGGCGCACTATTGTGAAACCCCTACTATACGCGTCCACAACATACTAACAGCAAATGAAACTTTAAAATATACCCCGCTCCATAAAAGCAATACCTTTTTATCTGGATGGACTCAGTCATTGTAAATGCACTTCATTAAAACTTCATGATCTGTCGAATCGTGATGACAGTTTAGGGATAATCATATTAACAAAAAAGCTTTAGTATACATAGAAAGATGTCAGAAATGGTTCAGGCTTGTGTGAACACTTTTCATTTCAAAGCACCTTGACATAAGTCTCGGTTCTTTTGTCTAAATTGTGACAATACAGTTCTTTCCTATTAAAGGAAACTAATATGAGCCAAATTTCATGAATAGAAGTGAATTGATCTTCCATTACAATTGTGCATCATGTAAAAATGATGAAGGTCGAGTTGAGATTTTTACAGCAAATACTGCCGTGTAGCAACAACCAGGATTTCACCGCTTTCGGCCTGAAACTGGGGCAAATTTCCATTCCAAAGGACATTCTTTTGCAAGCACTAAATGTCTTTCCATCGCAGTTTTCTGCATATAATTATACAATTTCTGAAAACGCGCTTTAAATTTACCGGTTATTCATTTCCAACCGACTGAAGCTTCCATCACGCAGCATCGTGCTCTCTCTATAGCTTCCAAGTGGCCCACATACTTCCGAGATGGATCGCATATTTCTGGAATGTATTTACGTCGGTCAACGGAGGTCTCCTTGTCTGGAAATTTCCAGAGTGACTCATGATGTTGATCAACCACACGAAACGCACGGAACACTCTTTAACATTTCGATGTTCCTTGATCGTTGAAAGTTGATTTTTACAGAGAGCTTTAGATTTAAAGGATAGCTGCAATCAATTCAATTTGCTGCCTTTTGGGATTTTATACTAATGATTATTTCCATATTCATGAGTAGAACTGTGATGTCATCTAGGAAGAAAGCTTAAATGTTACATTGGTTTTTACACACAAAAAAAGTCTTTGACTAGTTTATCTTGAATAGATAGATTACCACGACAACACTATGCACTCATTACCATCACAACACATCATAGGCCTAGCACGATCATGACATCACAGGAAAAAAGTCTACTTTTCCTGTGATGTCACAATCATGTTGGACCGCCATGTGTTGTGATGGTAATGAGTGGATAGTGTTGTGATGGTAATTTACCTATTAAAAGCAAGTGTGCAGCGTTCGCACATTGCGTTTGCACGTGGTTGAAGCTGCCCGTAGGAATATTATGCGATCACAGTGGCCAAGGCAGTCCACACGTGGTGGTGTGGTTTACATTCAGCCCAATCCAGTCACGTGGGTGAAACAGGTATATAATAGCCCTAACAGTCCCAAATCTGCCGATTTCAATATGATTTTACATGCACCAAAGGGGTAAGGGTTAAACAACTGCACTCTTCAGTGTATTTAACCAAATGAGAGTGTACTGAAGAAGGTACAAAGTTGCAGAAAAATTGTGTTTAAGGAAAATTTATTACGGCTACCGTTTGAGACACCCACCCAAACTGTGCAGCAAAATATGCCACTTATTTTCATACCATGTTCATTAGTGACGCCCAAATCTATCCCAAGTTAGACAGTGCAAGCCTTTTCGACTACACTTACAAGATGACTTTTCAAGCAGCTCCTAATGGATCAGTGTTTTCTGATCTGGAGATAAATAACCCGTCCGAATGGACGTTTCATTTTCGGCAAATGCCCGAATTCCTGTTTGATTTAGGGGCCTACGAGTCGGCTGCGGCACTCGCACACAAATGTGCCCGGGGAGTTTTGACTTGACCCGTAGAAACCGCAATAATGCCGGCCCAGAGCTCGCGTAGTGACATTTCGCCGATGAAAAAAAAACAAAATAATTGCTTACCCATAGGAATGACGACTGTACGGGGAAACGTGACTTGCGCGGGTTTGCCAAATATTGACGCAGGCGAACTCAGCCTCAATTTTCTCACCATTTTCTTTTGGGGTTACTCTATTTTGCAGCTCTGTGCACGCTCTCTATACATTTCTTACATTGTAAAATATGAATTTAATTTTTCTTCTGGTGAGATTTTAGGTTTATACGTAACAAAAAACTAAGAACGATACAAACATTTTCTTTTTCTCTCTCCATCTCGTTATATTTCATCTTATGCAATCCATTTATCTTTTTTGGTCAGATTTTGTTTTTTTACGCAACAGAAGACTGTAAACTTAAAAGGAAATCCTAGAAAACAGGAAACACCAGAAACAGCACACAACACAATGAAAGGAAACTAATGAAATAAGAGTGATTTTTTTTCTTTTACTCTCCCTCCTACGCAAGAATGTGAGCAGCGACGATTGAAAAAAATGAGCCTGTCAAGAGTCTTCAAGTCCTTTATAAACGGTATGATTTTCGAAGACATGAGTCACCATACATAACACACCACAAAATGTGCATGTAGCCAGTGATTATGCAAAATGCAGAGTGAGAGATGCATTACAGAGGGGGTATTCAATATGGCTCTTCAAACACCGATTGGAAACAATTCCCTTTGAGATCGCCGTCGTCCTTGCGTTTTGGGGGAAAAAAAGGAGCGAAACATACAAAAATATCAGACACAATAATGACGATGATGATAAATACTGTAGACCAAGCTTCGAAAATGCACTTTAATACGGGCGATTCACATTAGTACGCCCCCAAGAGTCTGCAACGCGTTGGCCAATCACAACGCGCGAAATTTGTCGACCCTTTCCGAACGCGCATTGGGTCGACAGAATTCGCACATTGTGATTGGCCAACGCATTGCAAACTCCTGGTGGCGCACTATTGTGAATCGCCCGTACTAAAACGAAAAATATCAAGAAAAAGAAATAAACACCGCACTGCAATAACACCGCTTGATTTATGCACCGCAGAATGTAGCCTACTATTGAACCGAGTTTTCGAAGTTGCGTAATGCATTTTTTTATTCACTGTTCGACTTTTTCCTCAGCGGATGCAGAGACGATACCAGTAAATTATTACACACACGGAGAAGTGGTTTTTGCAGGTTGTCGGGCGCTGTAACTAGGGGTAAATATCTGGTAACACGGCGCGCTTGGCACGGGTACTAGGGGCCTGCTAATTGCGTGTTACTATGCACGCAGAACCCATTCATCACCCGGCTTGTATACTCTTGTCCGCAGTAATAATGTGGGTGTAGTATGAAATGTGTAGTCCCCAAATTGTTGCCTCGTTGCCGGTATTGCGCATGCTCTAGAGCGCAAAAAAATTGGAACAGACTCTGGTCGCGTACAAGCGGTAGGGCGCATTATAATGAGATTTACAAAAAAAAGAGAGAGGCATTTCACAAGGTTCGGAATATCACGTGGCACTTGTGACATGGATTTGGCTGAACTGCAAAACGATCACTGCGTGCATAAACACACCGAGCCGTGAAGTGTTAACGGTTTCGATCACACAACAAACGATCTTGTACCAATGTGCCAGGCTTCAGTTTCGGATTGAAATCTGAAATCTTTCGGTTGGTGTACGGTGCTCGTGGTTCAGTAGCTATAGCTCGAACTTCAGATTTTCTTCAGAACTAGTGCCAAAATGAGAAGAAAAAATGTCCATTTGCGATGGTTTAAGGTGTACTATACAAAGATAAAAGAGCATTCCCGTTTATTGTTATAAATGGTAAAATAAGAACCGCTACTGCGATGAACATTAGGCCATGAAGCTAAACATCTGACTGGATCAAATTGAAAGATTTTGTTTTAACAACAGTAAGAAAAACCGCAATACTGGTCAAACTTGGTCACATGCAGCACTGTGCAACAGACCCTTTTTAACGCATGCCATGCTGTGCAATGCGTCGTCCACTATTCAAACATCTCCTCAGAAAAATAAATTGAAAGCAAGTTACAACATCGAGAATGAGTTTTCCAATAATAAATGTCGCATGCAGAAGAATAAAATCCCACAGAATCACCGAGACTAATTTCCGCTTCCGCACACATATTGCACAATCATAAAGAGAGACGGTCTCTGCATGAGGCCGAGATGGTATACGCTATCGGACATGCTAGGGTCCACGACAGACTTGCATTATGTACAGTTTACGTTGTACCACTCACTGCGTTTAGCAGTCATCAATTTGAATGTAAATTGTGAAATTGATATGAGATCCCGCTGGGTTCTCTATTCCTTTAAACTGTTTCCTTATGATATTTGAACAGACAGCTACCTTGAATTTTGCACGTCATGCTTTACAACCGTTTTTTTTTCTTCATTTTTCACCAAAATTAAATTTTTGTCTGTCCGGCTGAAGTCTTGACATAAATTTACATTAAAATGGTTTCAATAAATAGGCGCATCTCAAGCACACTTTCTCAAATAACTCAAGACTTTCTGTGGATACCAGACAAAATGGCTTTGTATTCTGTCACTGAAGAACACCGTGACTCTGTTAAAATCTGGAATGTGTTTTTCAAAATGTAGCCTCAGCCATCAGGTTACCTAAAAATACCCTCGCCAAATTCCCTCCCCCCATGAATCTGGATCCGTCTTTGGATCTATTATTAATCTGGCGATTTACATGTATATTAACGGATCTTCTGCAAAATGTTAATATGAGTATGGATCGATTCGCGAAGGCATCCATGCAACAAAGCTTCAAGCAAATAGTTATGTAACTAATTTACGTACAAGTAAAAAAAAGATAGAGACATGAACAGAAACCAAAAGGAATGAAATATAGAATTTCAATGTCGGGCGGGTTCATTATTAAGTGCTTGGATATCGCTGAACATGTACGTTGCTAGGATAAGAGTACTTCCCGGCACCAAAGATCGATCAGGTACATACACCTTCCAAATACCTTGGTTTTCTTGTTTCATTAAATTTTTCAAGGCACAGGCGACATCGGCTGCCTCGTCACCAAAAAAAAAAAAGATGATTGTACTCGGGGGACGGGGCATCCCGTCTCGCTTCAATGACCTTTTAGAATTCGAGGAACTGTGACAATAAATTATGCAACAATAAACATATTTTTTTTCAGTGTAGGTTCACAAAATATAAACTGACTAGTCACGAGTGTGCAAAATGAGAAGTCGCGTACCAGTTGTTTGTTCAATCTGTTGATTCTTTCAATATTATGAATTTTGCAAATTTCTAGAGTTTTTTCCACATCTTGCTGATGAATATGAGAGCAAAACTGACCCAAATGCTGAGTCTTACACCTTTACAACTTTGCTCTCTCTCGATTCAGTGACACGTTAAATACTCTTTTTTTTTTTTCCAGTTTTCCCCTCGTTTGACTGGGAACTTTATCTGAGCACTGTTCTGCAGTACATCATAATCATTTGCACTCCTGGCCTGTATCAAAATTCTCCGGGAAATATGATTTTTCTGGCAAATTTCCACCGCTGCGCAGGACAGGGATATTCAAGCCACATGTCCACTGCCGGTTGCTGGGCCCTACCTTCCTGAATCCTATTCAAAAATCTGGCAAAAAATCTCCTGACAGATTTCTGAGGATCGTTGAGGGCAAGGGTTCCTAGAACGACAAAAATCTTGTTCGTGCATACATTACCAACATGACCGATTGTTCAACACGTTCTAACTTCAAGATGAAATTCAAAGTCTCCTGAAACATTTTTCTTTACGTCACACTGAAATTGGTCATCCAAACAGCATATTGTGTGCATCTCCGACAAAGGTTAAAAATTTGTTTTATATTTTTGTTGAATATAATACTCTACTTGGTTTACGGTTTTAATATTTCAAATACATCCTGGGATTCAACAAAAAGTAAATCAATACTGATGCATGTTAACTGCAGCTTACAAACACATTTTTTATGACTTGATATAAATCTACTGCTACCACACAGAATTGAAACACATGACAAAAAAAATAAACTCTTAAGTTTTACCAAGAACTTTGAGACAAAATACACAAGCATGGCAATGAATCTGTGTATGTAATTTCAAGAGACTAATGCTTTCTAAGTAAAAATATAATGAACGTTCTTAACCACCAAAATAAATAAATCTTAAGGAGTTTGAATTGGCATCTTTCACAATTTTTCTTTTAAATAGAAACTTTTTTTCTGCATCTGTCAAACTGAGGATTGTTCATTGCACTCGTACATTGCACTGGGTCGTATCCGACGACGTGTCCGTCCTGGCAGCTTGGGCAAAAGCCGGAACGTCTTGGGGGCCAGTTCGCGACAAGCCTCACGGAACTTCTTGATCCGCCAGCAGTAGATGATGGGGTTGAAGGCGGAGTTCAGGTAGGTGAGCCACAGGATGAACGCCTTGCCCACGGGATTGATCTGGCTCGACGCGGAGAAGAGCTCCACGTAGACGCTGACGGCCGAGGGCGCCCAGCAGACGATAAAGACGATGAAGAGTAGGAGGATGGTGGTGAAGGCCCGCGTCTTGAAGCTCATGTCCACGTTGACGCGGGAGGGGCGCGGCAGGCTGGTCAGGCCCAGTTTGCTGGCCTGGCTGATGCTGAGCGACTCCGGGTGGTTCTGGATCCGCAGCGAGTTCCGGCGCACCGTGTTGAGAATGAACAAGTAGGAGAAGGACATGGCGGCGCAGGGGACGTAGAAGACGGCCAGGTAGAGGCAGAAGATGTAGGCTGTGTCCGCGGGGCTGGCAGGGGGCTTGAATTGGCATTGCACATGGCCCGGCACGTACCCAAAGCGAGCCCAGCCGACCAGGGGCGGAAACGCCACCACGGCGCTGGTCAGCCAGGACAGACCTATTAGTATCTTGGCCCTGTGGGGGTTCAGCTTGTCCTTCCGCCGGACGATGATGAAGTAGCGGTCCACGGAGATGGTGGCCAGGATGAATGTGGCCTCCATGACGAAGAAGAGGTAGAGGAAGGCCGTGATTTGGCACATGGCCGGCCCCAGGAGCCAGTCGCCAGCCACCAGGGTCACCAGCGCAAAGGGCATGCACAGCAGCGCAACCATGATGTCGGCAAAGGCCAGGTTGGCCAACAGCAGGTTGATGGCCGAGCGCATGGCAGGCTTCTGGTAGACAATCAGGCAGACGATGCTGTTCCCCAGGGCACTGATTACGATCATCAGGACCATGAGTGCCGTCAGGACCACAATGGCACCGACTGGCAGACGCTGCTGGTAGGCCGGCGTGGTCAGTGGGACGGTAGTTATTATGGTCGCGTTGGACATCCCCGCCGTTTCGTTGCTGCCGCTGCTGCTGGTTGTGGTCATGGCAGTTTCTGCCGTCAGTAACCCCATCTACAGCGCTGCAACTCCTGCCAATCAAGCACGCTGCACCCTCATTTTAATTAAAAACACATTCGCCACAAATGGTTTGAAAGTTGGCCAGTGAGGACCCACACACCCTGATATTTCCCACGATGCTCCACAAGGCAGCATGTGCAGGGTCACTCCATCGGCGAGGACTTTGTCAAGCCGCTGTTGCACAGTCGACCTCATTGCCAGGAATTTTCTCAGATTTTTTAACCGGGCACCATTCTGCAAAAAGTGATCCAGAAACTAGCCATCTCTATCCACACACGCCACGTACGGCACTGATGTTAGCCCTCCAACCGGAACAGATGGAGAAGCCTATGACCGGCACATCTCGGTGGTTTCTCTGTTGAAAAAAAAAAAAAAAAAGGTTTGAAGCTGTCGCTGACTAGTGAAGTTGTTCAAAGAACAAGATCCCTTGTCGGGCTAACGAGCATAACGATTCATTAATTAGAATCCACTCCACAGCATTCAGCATCAAAACAACTCACAGTGCTGACGCACGACATGAATGAAGTTCATTCTGTGGTAGTGACGCAGGAACCAAGGGAGGAAAAAAAAACATAACAAAAAAAACACCGCGGTGTACCCTGATCCTTAATGAGCTTAATTGTTTACAGACGTCACAGCTCATGCCATGTCCGAGTCTTATAAGGCCACAAGGAGGCCATATGCAAATTTGATGTCGTTAAACCGCGCAGCACAAAAAGGATTATTTGCTCCCTGCAACGTCCGTAGCGGCCGCCAGAGATGTCACAGCAAGACTGGAGCTGTTCACAGACTTATATCCAAAACGTATAGTCACATTAATGCAAATTTGGCCACCAGAGAAAAAGACATCGTTACTGGTGTTACATTATGGACAACAGAATTCTCCAATATTTCCAACAACTGGGGTTTCACTTCAAATGCAGTTTGCTTCAACCTTTTGGATTTGCATGTGATTCAAGTAATTTACATGCGCAATAAAAGTACAAGACCGGATTGAGAGTACGTCTACTTCCAAGCCAGTCTTGGAAGTTCATGTAATTTAAAAAAAAATAATAATACTTTACAGAAAAAAGGCCCAAAACTCAAGAGAACAAGGTTTGGGTTGCTACATTCGTGCCAATCATAATGCACTGTGTAATAGACGCATGCCTCGCTTGAGTAATTGAGTGAATTGCATTTCTGACTAACGAACGACAAGAAAACAAGTTATGAGCAAGTTATTTCACCCGAATATAAAATGAACTCTTTAAAAACCAAGTCGTCAAAACATTCCTCATTTTGGAAATGTAGCTTTTACTTTACTTTGTTTTAATCATTCATTTCTTGCATGACTAATTATCTTTGTGGCAAAACAATATGCAAAAGCGACTGTTAATCAGTAAATTCTGTAAAGTATCACAGAGAGTTTATATACAGTGAACACTCTTCCATCGGTCCAAAGATAATGGTTGCTCAATTTTGTTACAGCAATGATAAAACAATGATTTCTGTGTGTGTTTGATATAAAGAGAAATAATAAATCATGTAAATTTAAGAGAGTTTTGATCTCGGTTGTCACTGTAGTCAAGATACAAGAACAAGAATACTCGCACGACAAGAGGTAGGCCTAGTTAACCAGCTCATCAATCAGTGACTTGCCTAGTTCTCAAAATCTAAACTGAAAAGAAGATTGCATGTTTTAGGGCAAAACCTACAGAGACTTGACAGCCAAGAAAATTTGTAAGAATTCCACACACGGACGCCACAAATTTTCCCCCAAGCAATAACATGGCCTAAAAAGTCAAATTTAGCAGTAAAAATAGTGAGGTATTCAAGTAGAAATTAGAATACACTTGGAATGTTTCAGACCGGTCTCAGAGGGTCTGTCCACAGAGTGTCAAGCGGCGTCCGTATGGAACTCTTTCCGAAAAGTTTCACCCTACCAGGGTCCCTAGGTCACGATGTGCAAGCAATCCATCACCAAACCACTTGCACTATCGCCGGGCAAAAACTACCTGCTGATCGCATAACACGATCGAGTGGCCAGCACAAAACGTCTTGCGTTTATTACCCCCTTAATGTCTCATTTTTCGGGTGTTTTTCAGGACACTATTACCACAGTTAGTTACTATAAAGACCAAACACAGCAAAGAATCGCAACGCAATGTTAAAGACCGCAGATTACCTGTAAACATCCCGAATATTCAGCTCATCTTTTCCCATCTCGGTCACATCTGCCAATGACGGCTTCGTGGTATTTTCGTTAGATCTAAGGTCAAGCGTCTTTGCTACCGTTGGCGGCGCTACACGCGCTGCCTTTTGCTAGTTGTCGCGCTCGCGTCCTCTGTCGGATGCACGCTTGGGAAAAGTTGACCAGATCAGAAATTTGTAGAAAAATTTTCCAGACTTGAAAAAAAATAATCTTATATGAACGCAGAAAAGTAGATATAAGTTTGCGCTTCTGTAAATGTGAGCGTCAAGTTCTGCGCATTTGTTGCACAGCTTTCCGAGTCGTCAGAAAAACAATCTTGGCACAAATTCGCCCAACTCTTTCTACGGTCGAGATGGTCTTGTGCTTATCTTTTCATGATCAAAATTTTGCCAATGTAAAGGCAGCATAAATTCATTCATGAATAATAATTAACTTTTAGTTGCGAACTGCTCTTTTTTGTCATTTAAATTTATTTATATTTGGGAGAAAGTGGTAGAAATGCACAGCTCTGAAAATGCAGAGACAAGCACGCCCTCTTTGGTAGAGATTCGAGCTTTATTCTCGAATGGGTGTAAATTTCTAAATCGGCATTCTAGCGCACGTTGTCTGATCGCCTATCGTTAGTCAGCCAGACAGGGGTATCGTTAGTCAGCCAGACAGGGCGCACATGTTGTATGCACTTTATGCGGGGTTTCTAGAAATTTCTACATTAATTTATTTGTATTGAACGAAACTGTCTGACAAGTGACACCCGCCAAAGATGGCTATGAGAGTACCCAACGCGCCCGGCATCGGGCAGATGCTGAAAGACGGTGCAAAAGTGAGTAAATACTGTGTCTAATTACTAGGCGCTTCAGGCCTACAGCTATAAAAAGCATGGCATTAGGCCTACTTTACAGTCACTTCGCCCCATTTCCACGTCGCCCTAACCACTTCGCCCCATCTCCATTTCGCCCCATTTCCACTTTGCTCCGTCCGTGCTCGAGTGTGTTACAAATACACACCTCTTCAAAAAATGGTGGAAAGAGAGAAATTCCACAAATGACATGGAGTTATACATGTACTGTGATGTAGGCCCATACTAGACAACTCTACGGCATCCACTAAATTAATGTTGACTACGTTGTCCATGGTGAATTATAACATGATATGGTTGGACTAGCATCGGGTTCCTTTCTCATCCTCTTCAAGTTCATTTCAAAATGATACACAATCCTGTAGATAACTTCTGGTAATTGTCGTTACATCCAGACAGCTGTGCCCAGGCGATCGGATAAACCTCAGTATGCCGTGGTAGGAAATTTTGTGGAAACATGCTTGCTTCAAGTACGAGCAAAACAACCTAAACTTAAACTCAGGAACATAGAAAATATCTAGACAAGATACTAACTTCTATGAACTAACTTTAAGAAATCGTGCAACATCAATGTTTTTTGGATGCATGAGGTCTCGTACGTGTACGGTCGCCGCGGTACGAATAGACTGGTTGCCACACCCCACGCATTGTCAGCATTTGTGGTGGGAACCAGCACTTTGCGCACATGTTTTTGGATTGGATGGGATTAGATTTATTTGGTATTACGTAGGAGTGGGGCGGACATCGGGCCCAACAGTTCTGGGGGTAGTATTGCCTCACAGTTAGGAAAAACCAGGGATAGCCCATGAAAGTTTTGCAACTTATTTCCAATGGGGTCCCAATTTAGTTGGGAAGAAGGTCCAGTTTTAGAAGCGAAATTGGCCCCTCTTCATTGGCCAGACATCAGTTCATTTGTTAAATGCAGTGGTTGTTACGGGAGTTTAGACAGGTTTCTGTCTACTTTCTTGCTCCAGTCGAGCTTATTAGAAACAGGAACCGGACCAGTCTACAATGAATGGATCTTGGACTTTAGTTCCTGTAAAAAAAAAAAAGAAAGGGGTATGAATCCTGCCAAAAGGAAAGGAAAAGCCTGTATTATGAAAATTTGTGATCTGATTGAGAAAATGTAGAAAATGAAGACGGAAAAAATTCCATCAGGTGTGGGGCACGATCCCAGTACATGCACTTTATGCAGTAGCGTACATAGTGCTTACTGACTGTCCCACCGCAGTACCACAAGGGTAACGGGAAATTAAAAGCTTTCAGATTACCGATGGTAATTGTGCACTACCGTAACCATAGAATTTTGAAGTCGCCACTTCATTTTTCAAAACTACATGTACTTCCTTAGGCACATGTAGTCTGTGGTGAGTATGTTTGTAGGAAGGCCTATTGTTAAGTCTAACCCGCTGGAGTTCCGTCAACTTTGGGCCTGTTAGTTAATTTTATCCTGATCTGCTGGTCTTGTATCCGACAATGTCTGAACCTGATGAACGTATCAACTTGACTTAACCCTAACCCCCCAAGGGTTGCTGGCCCTAACCTTCCCCATTCACACAAAGTTAAACACCCATAAGGGAGTTTGTGCTCAGAGGCTGTTGGACTTAGTTTTTCTGTGGTATGCCAAACCCAATGCAAAAGCCAGCTGTTATGGGCCTACCAGACCTATCCCCACAGAATTAAACACTTTACTACTGTTTAATTCTGTGTGGTTGGGGACGGTTAGGGTTAAGCAAGTTTAGAGTGCCATTTTATTAATGAAAAATTCTGCTACATGTGAATAATTCACATGCATCAACTAATTAACTGAAAGTATTTGGTTAAGATATAGGCCAGACATGTTTAACCCCTTGACGACGGGAATTTCTTCCCGAAAGCCGACTCCAAGAATTCCAGCCTCGCTTGGCCACGAAGGCCACCTGCCAAACCGCAAATTCTCGGTTTGTTGCCCTGCGTGCTCTGCACGCTTCTAATTACACGGTGAAAGGGCTGATTGTTCGGTGGCATGCGGCTCTACTCACCCTTCCACATTCCTATTGCCGCTTTTCAAAGTGGGGACTATTGTGAAGCTGGTGATTATGATGCAAATTTTGTCTTTTCAGTTCTGGGCTATGCACAAAGACCAATTACCATATATACAAGAGCCAGGGTCTGCCTTCTTTCACCGTGTTCGCTCGAGTGTGGGCCGAGAATAATAGCCGAAAAGCGGGCTGAGGATCTCAAGTTTTACGGCGGCTATAGCCGCCTCCCGGCGTGAAGGGGTCAAAGCACTAAGAATGTGATAATCGGATGCTGCATGCTCCGTGGTGGCCAGTCATTGCAAAACATGATAAAAAAAAAGAAAAAACAGAGGTATTTTGGGCTAGAATATTTCAAAAACGTTCATACTGTTCTTTTTTATAGTGTCACCGAAAGTCAATTTTTTTGGTGGTTTGCCGCTCATAGTTTCTAATGTGCCACCGTTTGATTTCCCTTCTCCTTGCCACCAGCACTACCATGGCTTAGAGGAGGCTGTGTACCGCAACATCAAGGCGTGCAAGGACCTGGCCAAGACCACCCGGTCAGCATATGGCCCCAACGGCATGAACAAGATGGTCATCAACCACATCGAGAAGCTGTTTGTCACCAACGATGCGGCCACCATCATCAGAGAACTGGAGGTAGGCTGTTCAGGCTCGCTGAATTGCATTAACATTTGTTTGTGAAGAGAGAGTTTTGCATAGTGTTAATGCTGGGTGCAGTCGGTCAGTGTATATGATTGGCCAATTGTGTCGTGTTATCGGTCAGTCCTGTTCGGTCAGTCCTGTTGCAAATCGCAGACTTTCCTTTTCTTTAAACCAGTCTTCAGCAACCGTGAGTGACAAAAGATCTCAAATGATGGCTGAATTTATCAACAAATTGTGTGACAAGAATGACCAATCGCACGGATCAACTTATTCCCAACATTATTGAGATAAACATTTCAACTGATACCATCATAACAAAATAAGTCAGTGTACGCCAGAGCTACAAAGTCACAGGATGTTGGACAAATCGTAAAATTGATAGGAAGTCTTGACAAACATTTACCCACATGCCCATCCGGTAGCCAAACTAATATGGTACCAATGAAATGATTTTGAAGCCCACAACTCATTCTTAATAGCAACAGGGTTTGACCCTCTATGCTAGCTCTGTAGCTAAACTAGGATTTGAGTGTTCAACTGACGGACAATCATGCAGAAGTCCATTTATTCTGGTTGCCGTGTCCCCTCACCACCTTCAGGTGCAGCACCCTGCCGCCAGGATGCTGGTGCTGGCCTCCCAGCAGCAGGAGCAAGAGATCGGGGACGGCACCAACTTCGTCCTGGTCTTTGCTGGTGCCCTCCTGGAGTACGCCGAAGACCTGCTGCGCATGGTAAGACAGACCGACCAGCCGAATTTCTGTCTCTAAGGCCTTTGAGGTATTTTGCATAGAAATTGCTGGACTGAGCCAATTTCACAGTCTTGCTCAACAGAAAATTCAGCTTGGCAAGTTTATATGCTAAGCAAAAACAAGTCGAGGACCAGTTGCAACCAATATAATTTGAAATCTCGTCCAGTTGGCAGTCGTTGTTAAGCAACTTTGATCAGCATATTTCTGCGCTCTACAACTCCATCAATTCAAGCTCTGCGAAATAACTGGAGCTGTCGTTCAAATAATTTCAGTTTACTGGACCAGTTTAGCTCCAGCAGTAACATCAAGTGTACCCCTCACTAAACGATTTTAAAAACTTCTCCACAGCACTGCTTTTCACTTTTGGGAAAAAGTTTCAGCACTAGCTGTCTGATAAAGTTCTGCTCTAAAGTCTGTCTTCTGAGGAGCCCGAGAGAGCAAGAGCAGAGTGCACCTGAGCTTGGCACGGCGTCCCAATCACTGGCCCGAATGTTCCTGGCCAGTATAGATAACAGTTAAGTCAGGATGGTTTCTTTTGTTTCATCCTCAGGGCTTGTCCCCAACAGAAGTCATCGAAGGTTATGAGCAAGCCTGCAAGAAGGCACTGGAAATACTTCCAGGTGAGTCGAAGCATACATGTGAGTCGACAGCAGCCGCGTGTTTGCAGAGATCATGGAAGATTTTGTATGAAATTCAGCTTTCTACTTCTGGAAAAGCAAATGAAGATCTCCAGGAAGGCAAAGCAAAGGAGACCTTTGCCTTCTGGAATGTCAAGATTCAAACAGTTGGAAGAGTCAAACCAGAAAAGTCATATTCAGGCCTTCAACATTTGTGAATTTTTCTATATTTAAGGAAAAAGAACTTACGGAAACATATTAAGAACAATTGGAACGGTCATATCCCATCTTCAGGCCTTATGGCATTAAGCTTTGTTCTCTCAGTGAAATGAATTAAAGTTTTAAGTGTCGGAAGTTGAACAGTTTGGAGAAGAGATTTTTTGTCCAGATGGTGAGTTCATGATGGAAATATTGATTCCACCCCCCCTCTCTCCCAGATCTGTCTTGTGGATCTCTGAAAGACCTGAAAGATGAGGCCGAAGTGTCGCGAGCCATCAGGACTGCCGTCATGAGCAAGCAGTACGGCAATGAAGACTTCTTCGCCGGTCTCATTGCGAAAGCCTGCGGTGAGTACAGACATTCAGCTTTCCCACGGATTAGTTGATTTCCACATTTTTCAGGCCACTCTCATGCCACTGATATATGAAAACCACCCAACAAAGTCTTGCAAAGATTGGAATTTCCTCGTCTTTTTGGTCAAAGTCCAAGTTGCATGCCCGGGAGTAGGAAATCTGGGAGGTATCACGTTGACGTCAGATGATCACTCCTCAAAAAATCGCAAGGTGGTGGAAATTTGGAGCCAAAGTTTTGGCATCTCATTTGAGAATACATGAAAAATGGAATCACCTGTACTCAGATAATTTACCCTTATATGAATAAATTAAAGCTGTGGTACAACCTTTGTTTTAACCCCTTCGCTCCGGGAGACGGCAAGAGCCGTGGCTTTGTGTGAGGATTAGTGCATACCACACATGCAGTCTATTCACCATGCAGCTGCTGGTTCAATGGGACCTGCTGATGGACAAAGCCCTCCATTCAGGGCATACCACAGCCCAGCAGTCACGGTCAAAGGAATTACCGGCGCGAAGGGGTTAAATATGTCGTTAAATTTAGCTTCCCCTTTTTTTTCTTTTATAGTTGCGGTTCAGTCAAAAACTAAGACATTTAATGTGGATAACGTTCGGACGACCAAAATCCTTGTAAGTATCCCAATTAGGAAATTGTTGTTTCCATCAAGCATTATCGAAAGTGTAGCATCGCTTAATTTTGAAGTAGCTCTTTTAGAAATAAATTTTTCCAATATTCCAGCCCTTGAACTCTGGCATCGTTTCAGCATCTAAATGCTGTTTTCTTGCCTTTTTGGTTTAACCTTGCAGGGGTCTGGGGTGTTGAGCTCGAGCGTCGTCCAAGGCATGGTGTTTAAGAAGCAGGTGGAGGGGACGCTGTCCAAAGTGGACAACGCCAAGATCGCCCTCTACTCCTGCCCCGTCGACACCTCACACACCGAGACCAAAGTGAGTGGACATTGCCTGATTTCCCGAGAGGTGCTGACAGCCGCCCTCGGTGTAACTCTGAGATAGACTAACAAACCGGATTTGACTGTCTTGCCTCTCATTTTTTGTGTCTCAGGGGACAGTGCTGATCAAGACAGCCAACGAACTGTTGGACTACAGCAAAGGGGAGGAGAACTCGTTAGAAGAGGTCAGGTTTATTGCACGATTCCCGTACACAATTTTACTGTAAAGCCGCGAAATGGCGTACTAATGCAGCCTTGTCGAGCACATCATCCCAAACTAACCCAAAAGCCCTCAAAATCCGTTTCCATCTTTTTTGGTGGATTTTTGTGGACTCGGTCCAGGAGGCCTGAAGCACGGCCGGGGGCATTCAGTGCACGTTGTCACGGCATGAGTACTGATGACGTCGTGTAAGCGGTCCATCAACAAAGATCAAGATCATGCAAGCGGTGGGCCTCTTTGCAAGAAACGTTTATTGCACAGGGAGTGTTGATTTTAATGGATTTGGTCCAGTGCCCAGTCAAAGACGCCGGGGTAGTTGTTGGGTTATTGACCGCCATATTTATACCTGTTGTTTGTTAATACAAAACGAAGGAAACCCTCAAACCATTAAATTTTTTTTACAGAATTGGAGTGACTTTAAAAATGGAATTGTACCAAGTAACTGTTCATTAAGAAAGGCCGTTGAGGAAACCGTTAACTGAATTTTCATTTCCCGGCGAAAGGTTAAAACAAATTTTTTTGTGTTGTGAGTGGTGCACACGTAGGCGAGTCCACCACAAGTCCTTTCACAAGGCCCAGTCTCAATTTACAAGACAGGTCACAAGTAACAGGACCAAGAGTGTTTACATGTACGCTTTTGTCGCAGTCCATTTGAATTCGCTTCTGACTTTAGTGTTAAACTGGAGAAGGTACAGACGGACTTACAAGGACTTCTGATGGAGTCGACTACAGCTTGCTTGATATAGATAATAAATAGTCTCTCCAAAATTTGGCCGATTGCAAAAACCTTTGGTTTTTATTTCACATCTGGCCGTATAGCAAATCAAGTCCCTGGCCGAGGCCGGCATCAACGTGGTGGTAGCCGGGGGAAAGATCGGCGACATGGCGCTGCACTTCCTCAACAAGTACAACATCATGGCGGTGCGGCTGGGCTCCAAGTGGGACCTGCGTCGCCTGGGTCGGGTGGTGTCGGCCACCGCCCTGCCCCGCCTGACCCCCCCTACCACCCAGGAGATGGGCCACTGCGACCACGTTTTCATCGCCGAGGTCGGGGACACACCCGTCACCATTTTCAAACAAGGTCAGTGTTCTTGATTGATTGGCATGGGGATTTACACCCAAGTTGCTACAACCCTTTCTGCATTTGCCCGTAATATTCGAGAAGGCCCAGAGATGTGAGACAGGTCCTTCTCCAAATCACTTAGCAGGAGCTTGCTTTCCAAATTTTTTCCGGATCTCATGTTTTTTTTTTAACCAGAAGTGTTTGATTTTCAGCAGCTCTAATCATCCCAGTTTGGCAACTTCCTGAACCAGAAAGAAATATCCGAGAGTCGCGTAATCATTGTCTTTGGGAGAGAACTCGTCAGTCATTGCTCGCTAAAGACCCACACTCGTTGAACTGCCATGCACTCGTAGGCACAGATCTCATGTATGGCCCAGATGATTGGACAAGATAAGGCAATTACCATCCCAAGGGATGTTGCAAGGATTTCCCAGTGTCATTTCAATGATGTTGAAGGGCACCTGTTGTAGATGTCCCTTCAAGAGCCTGTGTACCCCTCTGGGTGTAGAGTTAAAATAAAAATGCTCACACTTGTATTAATCTCTCTGTCACTGAAGATAACGAGGAGAGCAATGTCTCCACTGTGGTGATCCGAGGGTCTACTGAAAACCTGATGGATGACATTGAACGCGCAGTTGATGACGGAGTCAACACATTCAAGGCTCTATCAAAGGTATCGGCATCAGCTACTTGTACTGGTCTGTAGTTCACAATCCTGTGTAGCAAATCATTTTTACAGTACTTAAATGAAAAATACACTCTGAGCACTGGCATTTTATCTGCTGTGGACCTCTTGGTAGCCGTGGTCTTACTTCTAAAAAGGAGCAAACTTAAAATTACTGAATATTTTCCACAAACTTTCACAGGATGCGCGGTTGGTTCCAGGAGGCGGTGCCACCGAGATCGAGCTGGCCAAGCGGCTAGCCTCCTACGGCGAGACCATCCCAGGCCTGGCCCAGTACGCCATCAAGCAGTACTCGCAAGCTTTTGAGGCCATCCCCAGGGCGCTATCGGAGAACGCCGGGGTCAAGGCTACGGAAGTGCTGTCCAAGCTGTATGCCGCCCACCAGGAGGGCCAGCAGAATGCCGGATTCGACGTCGAGGTAAAACACGAAAACTGGAACAGTGTGGGTCAATGCTGCCCTCCATGTGAGCCATGTAACAGGTGGTTAAGATGAAGCATGGGAAATAGCCACAGCCGCTAGCCAGTGACTTCCATTATTAGCGGCTTCCATAGGATCCCGTGTTACTCTCTGCCGCATTGGTTGAATTTGGACACAGTCCGAGACTGGGAAACCTAACCTTGATGGGAGAGGACAGATAACAGCCTTGCCAGGTCCTGCCATTTCATCGGTCCCTAGGGACTGTAAGCATTTCTCATTGTCATCCGAGTGATTGGCTGGTCTCGGTAGTAAAGCAGCACACGGCGCAAGTGGATGGCTGAGGACTTATTCCGTTTCAGAATTATGTTCAGTGTCAATTTACTGTTCGTTTCTTTCTTCTTCCTTTTTTGAATAGGCCGAAGGAGCCGAGATCAAAGACATGCTGGAAGCCAACGTACTGGACGCTTATCTGACCAAGTACTGGGGTATCAAGTTGGCCACCAGCGCGGCCGTCACAGTTCTACGAGTAGATCAGGTGAGATGACCACTGACCAGGAACAAACTGGACCGGGGGTGAAAAAAAATCTTAAAACCGAAAATCTGAAAAATCTGAAATGAAGCCCTTAGAATTGGGAATCTCGGAAACCGGTGTGGTTGGACTGTATCATGCAGATTTTAACAAGTAGACAGATTTTTAAACGGGAGCTTTCAACGATCGGTTTCAATTATTTTGCCCTTTTTTTTCTCTCATTGTTGTCGTCCTTCTTTTCACTTCAGATAATCATGGCCAAGCCGGCTGGCGGTCCCAAACCTCCGAAGCAAGGCCCAATGGACCAAGATGACGATTAGAACTAGACTTCCCACTTTGCCCACCCCCCAAAAAAATTTGTTCAGTGTTGTTAGATGTATCAAAGCTTGTTATGCACTGTCAGTAGCTTAAACATAAAAAGTTTGGTCAACAAGTTTACTTCGTATTTATCAAACACCCTTCTCGCTGTGTAATGGTATATTCCTCTCAGGATGTGGAGATAAGCACACGCCTTGCGCTATACTGCGCGAGGTGGCATACAGGCAGAAAACACTTATCCTACCATTGAAGACTGGTCATGTGATGGGCTCTCGCCAACAGGAATGATTAAACTGGCTTAGGTATTTATGAATGTATTGTTGACAGTACCTGTGAAATTGTTTCGCGATATTTTCAAACCTGGCTGTGGCAGCAACTGCAGCTCAGACAAGCGGGTGCTGTGCCGACCCGAGTATCCATTCTGATGAGTTTTAGGCTCGTTCATGTACATGCGAGCAGTTGGGGCCAAATTGAAACCCAGGATCCCCCAAAAGCGCGGATGGGGTATCACGAAGCCCAAGGCCACAGATGATCCCAGGATTTGACAAAATGGTCGGTGTACATAAACATTGGCTTGTACACTATCTCGCTGATGGTTTTGTTTTTTTTCATTCAGTATACGCACAGGGAAACATGGCTGTCATGTTTTCCCGTGTAGAGCATAAAATTTATGAGGCAGATTTTGTATTTGGGTTCTTGTTTTTTTTAATTTGAGTTAAGTATTACGTGTGCAGTGAGTAAGAATGTGATTTGTCCATTAGGAAAATTCTCAACTGTTTTGAAAAAAGCACGGATATGCGCCGGGTAAAATTCAAAGAGGAAAAAAAATAAATCGTCAAATGACATTGCTGTTGTGTACGGTTGTCCTTTTTTGTGGATTTGTCAAATGCCTTGGTTGAACAATTGGGATTTGGAGCTGCGTAAAAGACCCAAGTAGGAATGCGTACGTGCATGGCCAGAAGCAATGCAGTCACTCACACTGCATGAGTTTGGATTTCTTCAAAACCCCACTGGATAGGGCTTACTTGAACGATCGCACTGGGTTGATATTTCGACACTCACCATGATACAAGCACGCCGAGTGAACATGAATTGATCAAGGTAGTTATCTGCACGTTTTAAAGATAAGGGGATACTGTCACTTCTGTGGTGGAGATTTCACATGGTTCAAAGCGTTTCACTCGTACATTGCTGCGTAGGCCTCTTGTCCAATTTTGATGTAGGCTTCCTTCTCGCTTGGTGTCATCTGAGCGACGAGTTCGTCGGTAATGTCTTGGAAGGGGACCATGCGGCCTGCCACCGACACCATCACGTCTTCCTCGTCTTCGTCTTCGTCCTCCTCCCCGCTGTCCATCTCCACGGTGTGCGTGATCGGGGCCGAGGTGGACGCCCCCGGGAAGTCGTCGTCGGAGCCACTGGCGTCACTCTCCGCATCGCTATTGTCCTCGCCGGGGACGACTGCCCCCGTGCCCGACTTCCGCTCGTGGGCCAGCAGCGCCCGAATGATCTCCTCCGACTCTTTGTTCTTGGTGGACGGTCTTGCCGAGGGCCCAGCCCCCACCGGGCTGCGGTTCTGGGCGGCGCCGCTTGGCGTTTCCGCCACAGCACCCTCAACGGTGCTCTCCACCAGCCAGACAGGGCGTTCCCGGGCGGGGGCCTTGGCGGCCTGCTCCCTCTTCGTCTCCTCACCAACGTTGATGGTGATCTGCTGGTCGTACATCTCAAAGCCAAGATTCCGCGACGAGTCGCCGCTCCACGTGCTGTGTGGACCACTCCCACTGGCACTCCCACTTCTGCCAGCGCTTGGTCTGAAAATTCAAATAATTACCAAAACAATTGGCCCCAAAATGTTACACCGATTGCCACTCACAAAAAATCCAAAGAGCTGTAAGTTTTAATGAACCAGGTCTCCAAAGAGACAGTTGCAAAAAGGGATACCTACTTCTTGTTTTCATTGGCAGCAGAGGGTGTCGGCTCCAGGAGCGTCTTTGATAGCTGGATGTGTTCGACTGACTTGAGCAGATCAAAGATCGGTTTCATTTGCTCGTTGAAGAGGGCTATCTGCATGTAGGTGTCCTTCTCGGGCACGGCACTTTCATCCTCTTGCACCTGTTTCAAGAAAAGGAGGCGGGGCATGAAGCAAAGTTCTGCATTTGATATCAGTGGGAGGTAACTTCGCTTCATCATGCAGTGCGCATCAATTTTAGACCCACCATTCTTATTATCTGGTTTCAAACAGACTTTGTATGCGAGCATTCACGTCGGTGATGCAAATCTGGCACTGTACACGTATTACAATTTTTGGCACTTCCTTGCTTGTGTCCATAAGCAAGACATGTTTCTGCAATAACCATTCTTTCTGAGCACGAGGGTGTGCTTGATCCTAGTATTTGGGGATCTTTCAAAGGGGCCGATTACCAGTCACAAAATGAACTTGAATGGAAACCTCAAAAGTCTGGATGTGAGCTGAAAGAAGAAACTGGTGTGCTCTATAGCTCAACAATACCGTGAAACATCGATAAGAAAGCAGTACAAACCAAATGGTCACAAGACTGGTAACCGGGTCAGCAAAACTCTCCACAGTGCAGCAAACATATTACAATGTCTGTGCTTTGTGTCCATAAGCAAGGCATTTCGCAGCAATAACTTCATTCATCCCTGCACCTACCTCTGTCCCACAAAACGTGCAGTGCAGCTGGCCCGTGAGCACGTCGATCAGGTTGCCGGCGTCAAACTCATTGTACTCTTTGTGGCACTGGGGGCACTTGAAGAGCGCCTTGCAGGTGGAGTCGCGCTCCTTGCTTTCAATCTTCTGCCGCATCCGATCCAGCTTGTACTTGACCACGTCCACAAAGACCTGTGACGGCAAAAGAAGGGAGAGTGGCCTGAGAACACGGGGTCAATTACATATTGGGTTTTCCAACAGCCTGCAGCAATTTTACAAATTTAAATTTGAATGTTCAAAGTCTCTTATTGTATAGTGTTAATTTTTGAAAATTGCTGAAAAATCTTTTGAATGTCTCACTCAAAATCATTCCCTTTTCATTGAAGTGATTGTCAAAATTATTCCATTACAGAATATTCAATTTATGAAATGTGCAACAAAATATTGTTCAATTTACTGCTATACTGCAAAGCGTATCAGAAATCCTAAATTCATCCACTGCAAATTGTTTGCAACTTGCATTTTCATTTAAAAAATCCTGTTTCAGGTGGAGATTTTCCATGATTTTACACACGGTCTGGATTTGGGGCTGAAATTAAAAGGAAACAGAAAAAAATCCCTTTTGATGCCCAAGACATTTTCCAAAATGCCCCGAAATGCTTGTGAGCCCTGAAAAAATGTTTGAAGTACTTAGGATGATCCGGGCACCTTATAGTTAATGAAGTAGTAGTTGTGTCGGTTGGTCCGTCCATCTGGCTGTGTCTCCACTCGCATTGTCTGCTTGATCAGTTTGTCGTTCTTGAGCCTGTTGATGAAGATGCGAAGCTGTTTCTTGTCAAACTTGAGGAGGTCGGCCATGTCATCCTCCTACACATCCGAGGTAGAGGGTGCAAGATAGAAAAACAGTTTTCAAAAGGCCCTTTGAAATGTGTAAAGCTTGCAGTCTTGTGGTCAGTAAATATCTGATGATTTTTCTGTGCGTGACCAACAGACGGAAGACGGGGAACAAAGTAAACGCATATTTTATTTTTAAATACCAACCTTCACGATGGGATTACGCACAAGGATGTCCACGATCAGAGCATGCTCAATGGTGTAGAAGCCGCGGGTGATGTACCGTGCCAGACGCTTGAGTTCATTGGGGACCTCGGTTAAAACCGAGGGCTCAGTAACAGACGACAATACAGATGGATTCATGTTCAAACTTAGCTCAGTCGTTGTCTACTTCGTCAAGTTGTGAGGCTATTGACAAAATGTAAAGACAGCAGGTGAACCTTTTTTCTTTTCATTTCTTTATTTGACTGATAGATTTTACCACTGTTCCCAGATTGGGACGGACACTGACAGTGACACCATCATGACCGTGGATACATCGGAACATGGAGGTGTGATTCTACCTCCATGATCGGAAACATGCGAAATCTCGATGTGAGAAGCCTTTGTTGAAATTAACACTGAGAAAAAGGCCTCACGCTTGAACAAGAAATGTGGCTTCCACCATGGCGACTGATCATGACCAAGTGTTTTAAAGGCGATCTGTAATTGGTACTTACACTACCACGGACTTGATTAGGGAACACCGCGCCGGCGATGTGAATGTTTTTAATGTTTTCCTCTTAATAGACTGGTGCCCGCTTGCAAAGTGTCAAAGGCAAAGATAAACGTCTGGGACCCATGCATACCGACGTGCTGCACAACATGACAAAATGGCCACCATCGACCTGGAGAAAGTTCGTGTTGTTGTCGTGGGCGATTCGGGTGAGATATTCTGTTATTTTGAAAGAAAGTTCCCAGCACTTTGCAAGCACTAGTGGTACACTTACATTAGACTCTTTTTGAAACAAAAAATCGTCATTTGGGGTTTACATTTACCTCTAAATTGGCCCCGCAGTGCTCACAATCCGTTCACAAAAACTAGACTAACGCGTGATTGAGCCATGAGGGCGCTAATACTGTTCCTGCCAAGTACAGGTAGGCCAAAGCCTACACTAGTCATGCTAGTATTTTAGTAGTAGGCCTAACTCAAAATGTGCGAGAAAGAGTTCGATTAGGGACCAAATCCCAACATTAGCAGCCAGTGGCTTGGCTCCAAGCTTGCTTGTTGCTTCCTATCTAATGAAACTGTCTGGTGGAATCCTGGACTTTCTGGGAGGTTGAGTGTAAAAATTAAAATAAATATTAAAACAGATCTTCCACCCCCCCCCATGCCATGGCTCAGTTCCTGCCCCCAATCTAATGCATATCATTTAAGTTACTAGTGTTTGTTGTTTCTTGTTAACAATTATTCACAAGCAGTTGCTGCGTTAATCATTCTCTGCAGGTGTAGGCAAGTCTTCCCTAGTTCACCTCATATGTCGAGGTCGCCCTAACCCGAGTCCAGGCTGGACGATAGGAGCCACGGTAGATGTCAAGGTGAGGAGATGACGTACCTCAAGATGCTCCTTTCCCATTCCAAGCAGTTAATTCCTTTTTCTCAAAAGATACCTGATAAAGTTTTTACATTCAGTAAAAAAAAAGGAATTCAGAAAAGAGTTCCATATACACATGTAGACCTCACTGATTTTCCTCATACTAGGCCTGTCAGCCATTAGATGGCCGTAACTTGTCCTAAATGGCCGTAACATGTCCTAAAGAGTCAAATTTAGCAGGGAAAATATTGAACCATTCACTTAGAAAACACTTTTCAGAGAAGTTTCAGACCAGGTTCATAGGGTTTGTACACAGTGTCCAGTGATGTCCATGTGTGGAACTCTTTTTGGAATAAATTGTATCACAGATTCAGGAGTATAAAGAGGGCACGCCGGCGCAGAAGAGTTACTTTGTGGAATGTTGGGACATCGGAGGGTCAGTCAACCATGCGAATAGCAGGCACATCTTCTACAATCCCGTCAACGGCAAGTTTCCCCCAACTCCAAATTCTACACAATCTTACATCAGGTTTTGATGGATTTCAAAAGATTTAGTCATGCGGGGGGGGGGTTTGACATCATTTTGCACAAGGCACGATGTCATGATTTTTGTGAGAGTACCAGTGATGGATTCACTCCTGAGCTGATTTGTAATTTGGGGACAATTTAGGAAGATTTTGAAGGTAAAGGCATCGCTGGAATAATCTCAAAAAGAGAAAGTTTCGCAAAAAGAGCGTAATCAACAAAATGAATGGCTGAAAAAAAAAAAGTACCTCAAGTTTGGTGCATTTGCGAAAACGGTTCGACTTAGTCCCAGCACTGATTTGGATGACTTTTTTACAGGAATCATCCTGGTGCACGATCTGACAAACAGAAAATCCCACGCCAACCTCCGGCTGTGGCTGAGCGAGGTGTTGAACAGGGGGTCGACGTACGGCTCCACCAAGAGCCGATCAAGTACCAGGTAATCTCTCTCGACAACGCCTCTTTTTTTTCATGTAGATAAAATAATTCAGGGCAAGCGTTCCTTCTTATTTGACCTGCGGCATTTTGAGGTGACCGGGCCAAAGTCCTTGGCTCTGCCTACCATAATTCAGATATGTAAGTTTAGACTCACTTTATAAACGTGTTTCAAGACTTGGCAAAAGATTTTGGATAACACTCGTGCCTAAATCCCATCACTACAGATTCTGCACTTGCATAACCCTCCTATGCTGAAGTCACTCTTTGGGTCACTTGGTGAACACCTCAAAGAAGCACAGCTGTGTCGTGTTGTGCACTGCACCAACAGTCCCTCACAGA